ATGCCTAAAGACAGAGATTAAACTTCAAGCTAAATCCATGAGTATTGACCATAATTTTCCATGCTCTTTATCATATTTTCTATGATATTTTTATAATCAAGGTTATTGATTTGTGATTAATCCATGAATCAAGAGGGCATTTGCATTATGTTGCTATATATCGAGCATGAGTCGTTGACTACGAATCAAGTTGAATCATTCGACATGGAAGCCTTCATAGTCATCTTGGCCATCAGACAAAGAGTCCATGGTATTCATCATCTCTGTTATACGAAGGCCTTAATCATTTCTTGGCTGATAATATGCTAATGTAAATATATTGAATATACGGAAGGTATACAGAAGGTATTGTTATATAAAATATATTGGTATTATCTATCTAAACTCGTTAATTGCTCTTCAGCAATATTAGCCTTTTGCAGGTGAGTGCACTCTGTCAGGACTCCGTTCATTTGCACCCATCCTGTTGTGATTTTTTTGCGTACTTCCCGGCTGTCGCTGCATTTGATGCGTGTCTGACACATGCCAACACATTAGTCGTCCTCCCCACCTGCTCGAGCGGCAGTCCCCCTTCGCTTCGGCGCCCATGATGTCCTGGATGCCTTTCGCTTCAATTCCGCTTCTATGTGCGTCGATGGTCGATGGTTTTTGCAACGCAACGAAGCTAATTTCATTTGGTGTCCCAGCAAAAAGTCAAAAAAGCCAAATTAGGCAAAGCATCAAATTTACATACGAAATCGAAGCACCACATCGGAATGGGAATGCACTGGGGGAAAGGTTAGTCAATTAAGGATAATTTAAAAGGATAATACATCTTATCGAAAATATTCTGGAAAACTGGAAGCAACGAAAAATATCGCATTTAATACTATACTATCAATATTATCGCACAAAAAATATATTAAAAAAAATTAAACTAATTTATTTTTCTATTTTACACTTAATTAAATTTAAAAAAAGTATAAAATCTATATTTATGGATATTATTAATTATTTTGTCAGTGTAAGAATGGATTTGGCGATGTGCTAAGACTGGAGACCAGGTGTTTAACACTTTAATGCCACGATTTAACTGTGGTGCAAGACCTGCTGCAAAAACACTAACCAACTTTTTGGCCAAATCCCAAGGCGTGCGGCATGCGTGCCGCCAACTCCGACAACTTAATGGGGATCGGAGCTCGCCGATATACTATATCCCGATCTCGGCCCATTACCCCGTATGCAAATCAAGGGGCGCATTACTCATACGCGGCGTGTGCCAGTGGCTTCGATAAACACGTCAGAAGCGCGGCGATAGGGAAAGCCCTGTGCACCGGGCTAACTCCCCAGATCGGGTTCTCACATCCCTCGTCTCTCTCTTTCTCTCTCGTTGATTGTGGAGCGATTCGCATGATAAATCCAAAATAATTATGCACAAATCGAAGCCAAGTTACCAAAAACGAAAAATGAATCATTTTGCTGATAAAAAAAGCTAAGAGAGAGGGAGGGATGGAACAAGAAACAGAAAGAGAAGAGAAAGCAAAATGTGAGTGTGAAGAGAGGGCAGTTTTAAGAGAGTAAATCAGCTGTTCGTAGCTTGTTTCAAGTAGCTAAGGCTTAATATTTTCAATATAAAATTATGATAAATATTACTTAGTAAAGTAGGTAAAAATAAATAAAAATTTTATACTTACCTTAATCGTAAAAATATTTGAAATATAAAACAAAACCTGGAGAACTTTGTTCTTGCATCTGATTTTAAAGTGGTTAACATTAGGGATTGTAAGTCCTTATAATGTATATATATGTAAATACATATGTATGCTTTCATGTTTGCCAAAAGTCAAATATATTTTTAACATTTTTTCCAAGCTTTTCCATTACAATTATCAAAATAAAAAACAGTTATATATACTAATACTATTAACTAAATACCTTTCTGAAAATTCGACCTGTTAAAAGGTGTTGCATCTCTTACCCCCTTAAGCAACGGCTCGCTTGCTCTTCTTATTGTCAGCTCCACTGGCACACATTTCTCTTAATCAATTGGAATGCTCTCTTCCTTGGGTTCTCTTTGTCAGAAACGCTCTTTTTTGTGGGTGGTAACTTTTCAACGTTCGTTTAATTTGTTGCTGGTGTTGGTGCTTTTCACTTGTGTTTTCTTTTTCTTTATTTTTCGAGCCAAGTTGAGTTCTGAATTTGTTTTTTTTTTGTGTTGTTTGTTTATGTGCGAGTGCTAGTGTGTGTGTGTGTGTGTGTGTGTGTGTGTGTTGTGGGTGGCGCTTAACTGCTATTGTAATTGTTGATTTTGCCGCTGCTCTCCTCGGTGCCGTTCCGCTCCGTTTGGACTTTGTTGTTGCGGATTTCATTTTGGTTTATTTGCGGAAAACACGCACCCCAAATGAGATGAATACAACTTCATTTGAACTTGTTTTGTTGTTTAACGAAATTCGCAGACAAAGTAGCACAGTTACCGTTACGTTTACATTCGCACTGGCATTTACCGTTACTGTAGCAGTTTCCGCTTAATGCATGTCGGAGCGGGACGGCATCTGCTGCTGTTTTTGGGGCATTATAAAAGCTTATTGCTATAAAAAAGAGGTAAAGCAGGTGAAAAGGTTATTTGTTTGACTTCGTAGCCCCCCCACCCACTCACATAGCTACTGAAATCCATCTCAAAAGAGAGAAAGCAAGACAGGAAGTCATCCTAGAGAGAGGAGGATGGAGAGAGAGAGAGAGTGCAGAAATGGCCAATCACCTCTCTCGGCGATTCTCAAAAAGGTTAGCTGTGTCCGCAATGATTTTTGTAAACTTTATGCGTAATGCTAACCCAGAGTTGTCTGATTCACCCATAATATAATTTGATTTGCTAATTTAAAGGTTAAAACGAAATCAGCTTGATGACTTCATAAACCAAAGGTAGCAAAGCCCATGTATAAATATTTATCTGTCAAACATCTGTATATTCTTCTTATAAATTTAGAAAATGCTTATTTTAATTGCATATCACTAACAACAATATCTCCAGATCAGGGATTCGGCTCGCTATATCCAATGGAGATTCTCAATGATTATTTCAAGAGCTTCGATGACCGGTGAATGGTGCCAAACCAGAGTCTGATTGGACACCATCGAGGTCTCCAGCTTGTCGGCGGCAAGCCCAAACTGTGTGACGAAGCTCCAGGTCACCAGAATAAGGCCAATCTTACCGGCGGCAAGACCCAATTTATCTGCAGATACAAACTTTGTTCAAAAATTTGTATTCATTTGAAAATGGCAAATAATGTGACTGACGAAGCTAAATGTTTAAAGGCTTTAGATTTCTATCACTGACTTGTTTAGGTAACAGGACAAAACAACATTTAAAATGGGTCAACACATTCTTCTATCTTTAGCTAGGCTTGACTCACCTTTGTCAATTCATAAAACGATCCATTCATGAATTGTCTTTCCTTTCTGCTTTAGGATTGTTGGACGGGACCACCCAGGACAGGCATCCTCCTTCCCCCATTGCACACGGTAGCCTGTGAGATGGACTCTACTTTTGCCTCATAGTGAGTTAATTAGCTTGGGCTTGAGCTTGGGTTTGGGCTTGGGCTTGGGCTTCTTCTCTCCACAATGGTAATTCAAGTCGCCCATCATAAACTGCTGACAAAGTTACTAGTTTCCCGCCGAGACTCGCCGTATTTCTCCCCTTTTGTTCTGGGCCACCGCAAGATCTTCGAGTGGATCACTTACTCTATGTATACTGGAACGATGCTAAGACGTGTGTCGGGCTTCTGCCCGAAGAAAGGCCAAGCCGTAGGAGGGAGAGATCTTTAACGCTTGCCTGGATCGGGCTTCTACAGTGAAAGAGAAGGCTATGGGGATATGGGGATTGGTATTCCTAAAGTCTACAGATTTGTTATTTAATTAATTTATTTATATTTAATTTAAAACTACATGTTTATTCATCAAATGATAATTTACTTTTATATTTTACATTTTATACTAATCAATATTGTAGAAATCCTTAAAAGGCTCCCTTTAAGTATGCTACGATCTCTTCAACTGCCTTCTTTTGGGCACATTTTTAAGTGTTTTAAAAACTTCACGGATTTAAAAGGTCTAATATGATTATCGGCAACAATTGTGCTAAATAATAACGTTAATTTTTATTTTTAATATTGAAACTTTATTTAATGTTAAAGTTTAGAGTTACCTAATAATCTTGTATAGTAAATGAATTCCCCTTAAATATATGTATATACTTTATAGAACAACAAGAGTTGATTTTTCCAAAGACATCGATCGAAATCAATCGATTATTTCCAGTGGATAGGCCATAGGGTATAGATTATCGGTGGAGACCCCACCCAGAGGGTCTCGGGTCTCTTGTCTAGGGTTTCCGTTTCGCAATTGCCGACAATGGAAATGTCTTTTGCAATTTAACACTTGAATGCCCCGCCTTGATTTGCCTGCCAGGCAGCAATGGCAGCAATGGCGGCAAAGGGTGCCAAGGGGTTAAGGCTGCTGCTAACCCACTGCTGCCGTAGAGCCGCTTCTTCTCCAATTTATTTATGCCACGGAGTGCGACCGCAGAAAATGGAACTAGAGCTGCTGAAGATCGGAGATCATCCGGAGAAATATGTCGACGGAGATTGCCGGTGTGTGTGGTGTGTCTGTGTGTGTGTGTGTATGTGCACACTTTGTGGTTCTTTCTGTTTGGCAATAACTTTTAATTTATTATTTACACGCGCAGTTTTAGGGCTTCGCACTCAAAAATGCAATGCATTTTTTTTTCGCAAGTGTTGCGAATTTTTTGTTGTTGCTTCTAATCTAAAATATGCGCATAATTAACTCTGCACAGTTGTTGTTGCTGTGGTCAGCCGAAAAAAAAAACAATGTTTTGCATAATTGTAAATTGTAAAATTAGATAAGTGAAGCTTAGGAGGACCCCTAGAAATTTGTATTAAATAAACACCAAATTCAATTTAAAATAAATACGATAACTTTATTTATAGTCTTCTCTTGATCTTTTCAGCTTTTTGCTTTCACTTTGAATCCTTTGGAAGATTCACACACACACACAAGGTAACAGAAAAAAAATGTATACATACAATGGTATATTAATATATATCTTTGTATTTATATATATTATATATATTTATAGATAGTTGTGCGGCATTATCGAGTATCTTTCTAGGCTTAAATATAGCAAAAAAAAAGTGGTGCTGCTCTATGATTTGTTGGGAAAGGGTGGTGCTCTCTGGGTTTATAGTCCATAATTTACGCTTAATTTAGATCTTATTTATAAACATTCTATTATGTACAGCCCCTGGTCAGGTGTCAGGGTGGGTGGTGGCTTTATATCAATATTTTTATTCATATTATTATTAGGCTGCAGAGAAACAACTTTAACTTGAACCTGTAATTGATTGATGTAATAAAAATGTATTTATTTATTTTTGTAAATTAAAAATATTTATGCAGATACAGTTCTTTGCGGGTTCAAGTTATAGAAGTTTCTCTGACTATTAACCCTGTTTCCTAATTGGAGTCTAAGCAGTTTGTGTAAAATCTGAAAATCTGATTAATATCGAAAATATTGTAAACTTTAATATATCGAAATTTAAAAAAAATATATCGAGTTTAATTTCAAAAGTCGATATTATAGAAAAATATTCAAAAAATAAAAAAATATATATCATTCCGATAAGATTGTTCCTTTACATATCAAACTAAAAGTCAATTTATCGCACTGAACTACTAACTATCGACTTTCACCTCAAATATCAATACAGTACTGATATATCGAAATTCTCTGCCGTCCTTATACTTTTTTTGTTGTAACGAAATTCAAAATATAAAAAAATAACCAATTTAACTTTAATAAGTTGATATTAACGAAGAATTTCAATTAATTGGTCTCTCATTCCGATAAGTCCGATATCAAACAAAAAATCGATTTATCTCACAGATTTATCTATATATCAATACAGTATCGATACATCAAAATACTCTGAAAACAAAAATGGAAACAGGGCCTTTCCGGTTTATGATTATTCCCTAGGATATATAAACTTTATATACAGCTCTCCAATATCTGGGGATTATTAAGTTATACATACTTTATTAGCTAAAAAAAAAAAAAAAAAAGAATTGTACAGTTCTTGATCCTGCTGCTCGCCTAGTTCAGTTCGATGTGCAGGTGCAGCGGTGGGTGTTGATGCGGATGCGGATGGGGATGTGGGTGGACATGGGCGTGAGTGGCAAAGGAGGGCGGGACTGGACGGGTTATCCGACTGGGTCAATAGGGTCGCCACACCTGCGTGAGATCGCCCACGTCCTCCTCCCGTGCAGCCTCCACCACAACGCCGCCGACCTCATTGGAGGACTCCACCACCTGGCCGTGCTGGCCATGCGATGAGTGCGAATGGGTCAGGTGCTGCTGCTGCTGCTGTTGCTGGTATTGATCCCCCTGATTCCCCCCAATTTCAATACTGGAGCGGCTGCTGCCGGTCAGCGAACTGATGGTCAGCTGCTCACCGCCGGTGGCGGAGCCCAGGTACTGCTCCAGCTTCTCGCTACTGTGCAGATGGAGGTGGATCTGGTTCTGGTTGACCGTAGAGTACAGCTGCGGGTACAGTACCACGGGCGGCGGTGGCGGCGGCGGAGGAGGCGGCGCCGCCTGAGGACCATATTGGGCCGTGGCCGAGCAGCTGCCGTACTGGTAGTTCTGGTAGCCATTCGACCATGCCTGATTGTAGCTCCCGCCGTAGTCCAGTTCCGACTTGGAGGCACTGCCGCTGCCGGCCACACCCACGCTGCTGCTGCCATAGCCAGCGGTCTGGTAGGGATCCGTGGCAAATCCATGGCCATGCATCTCGGGCAGCACGGCGGGCAAATGGGCAGCATAGTTGCCGGCCTCCAGGGAGTTGGCTGAATCGTAGCCGCCGCCATAATGATTCATCCCCATACCCACGCCCACGCCTACGCCCATGGTGGCTCCGTTGCCGCCCACCGAAACGGGAGCAGCGGCTGGTGGCGGAGGCGGCGGCGGCAAGGCCATTTGGTGCTGCAGGTGGGCATGGGCGTGGGCATGATGCGGATGGTGGGCATGGGGATGGTGGTGGGCGTGGCTGTGATAGTAAGCCGCCGCTGAACTGGAAGATCCCGTCCACTCGCCGGCGCCCATCAGATCGGTTTCTGTAAGAGATTAAGGCAAAAGGGATATGGTTAACCAGGAGGAAAATGTGATCCTAAAAGGGTAGTCTTAACTCTAAATTAAGTAGGGTTAACAATGGGTTAAGAATGGGTTAACATTAACTGTTTGTTAACTGAGTTTTAACCTTTAGGGCCTTAAGATACACCTTAGAAGAATTTAAAGGAAATGGCACCAAGGAGCTGGGGTAAATGAATGCCAGCTGGGGGCCAATTAACCCTTGATTGCCCCCAACCGCCAGCAAGTGACATTTTCCAAGTTGTCAGTCGCAAGCGTGGGCGTGGCCGAATGGGTAATTGAAAACATCGTTCCATATGCATGGCAACAACAGCGGGGCCAAAAAGGGGAGGCATGTGTGTGTGGCACCCACTCCTCCTTCTCCTCCTGGGAGTGCAGTGCGTCCTTCCAAAAGGGGTTAAGTCAGGTGAAAAGACGAAAGAAAATTCCAAGGCATCGAAAACGGGGTTTCCTAAGCAACGCAACACAGCGGGACATCGCAGCCCGCGGAAGGTCTTTGCATATTTTGATTAATTACACCCGATCCCCTTTCCAAGACCGTCGGCCTGCCCGAAAAAGGCAGCGCCAAAAATGTCGCACAATTAATCAAATTCATTAGAAGCGATAAAAGAAAAATGGCCAGCTCTAGGACAGCAAAGAAAAATGTATTAAATTATAAGCTTAATTGACGGCTACAAAGTAACAATTTCAGGAAGCAAGAAAAAAAAAAATAAAATACAAAATTAAGAAAGAAACGTAGAAACTCTTTCGATTTGGTAAGTTCCAAGAGCTTAATGAAGTGTTTTCTTTATTTATTTTTTAGGGGTTAAGATGTCAAAATTGATATTAAAATACAAAAAAAAAAAAACAAGAAAAAAAGAAAATGAAAAGTATTTACATATTTTTCTAATACAAATAGAATAAATTTGAATTTAACTAAATTTTAAGTAAATTTCCGTTTAATTAAATATTTTCTGTATTCATTTTTTAAGGTTTAGAGGTCAAAATTTATATGAAAATTCTACAAAAAAACAAGAATTAACATAAATAAAAAATATCACAGCCATTCCTAGTCTAAATAGAATAAATTTTAATTTAAATTAAGCCAAATATAATAAAAAAAAAACTATTTTTCATCGATTTGCTTATCGATAACTCTTAAAAAGCATTTCATACAAAATTTTTTTTTTACATGTAATATCTAGTGTTAAATTATCTCTATAACATTCTAAATTCGTGAACTATTTTAAAGTTTAATTAAGTAATTTTAATTTAGTAAGAAGCACCCTCTAATAACTCCCATTTAAATAATGGAAATATTTGCCATACGCACTGCACCCCACCACAAAACCATGGGCGTAGCTTTCGGGCCTTAATGAAAGGTAGGAAAATTACAAGTTGCATGGAACTTTTCACCCGGCACTTATCACATTTTAATGTTTCAATTAAGGCGCAAATTGCGTTGCAGCAACAACATGGGTTAAGGCCTGCAGACTGCTGGCTGGCCTGTGGGGTGGACCCACCGCAAACTTGGCCAAATGAGGTTGCAATGAAGCGAAACGGACGGGATGAAAGCCAAGTTAGTGAAGTTAGTTAGTGGCCCAAAAGGGGTAAGCAAACAAGGGGCTGTGCCCACTGGCAAGACCGTGTAATTTGCGTAAAGCACGTGGAATTATGCGCGAATTCCCCTCCCTGGAAATTACGTATACGCAATGGAAAGAAGCAAAAGATATATAAGGAAAATATATGTACATAATACACCCAAGTATATGAGCTTGGAAAACTCGAGAGTTTTTGCTTAGCAAACATATATATATATATATATATATTTTTGCACTTCCCATTGCAATCCCACGGCTCTGTGACCGGATATCTTCGATTTTGGCCATATATCCGTTCGAGTCGAAGTATTAAGGAGATGGGGCTTAGGGGGAAGCAAAAGCAAAAGCGGATGCACTCCGATCAGTCCATCCAAACAGAAACCGCAAGTCTGTCTGGCTGTGGAGGCTTCTGCAAGAAACTGGCCAAAATTAGGCAACATACCAAGGAGTTGCAACATAATCTTGCCACTGATTGTGATCAAGAATAACCAAGTAGAGAATTTGAAGGGATTTTGATATTTAATATTAAATTCTTATTTATTAATACATGAAAAAATACCTTCATTTAAAGTATTGGTCATTTAAATTTATTACTAAATATATATTTTTTTAACTTAAAAAAGCTTTTTCTATAAGCCAAAAATTAAGATGTCTTTATGTCTTATTTCCTTAAATTTCTTTTACTAATATTGCGAATACGATTAATTTATAAAACTGTTTTATAAATACTAAAAACTACTCAATGAACTAATAAGAATTTAATGAGGGTATTTATTTGATTAATTTATTTTTATTTATGTAAACAAAAGGCTTAGAAAAAATGCTTGATGTCTTATTTCCTTGAATTTCTTGCACTTCTTTGCATCTACATACGTTTAATTTATATTTATATTTTACAAAATCAACTAATAAGAATTAAGAAATATTTTTATGGCATTTATTTAAAATATACCTATACAATTTAAAAATTTTTCTGCAATCCTTAAAAACTTTAAAAATGTTTAAAATAAACAATAAATATAATAAAGTACTACCACCTGGCATATTTTAAACATATATATTCAATATTTATAATAAAAAAAACAGGCAAAAAACTTAAGTTAAACCCTAATTGCATTAAATATTTACTCAAAAATTGTTTAAATTATTTTTTTAAATATTTTTTTTAACAGGTTTTTTAAGCTTTTTAAAATACCTACATATATAACAAAAACAGCATTTTACTCGAGAAATTCCTATTTATTGATTTTAAATATAACAAAACCTTTATATTTCTTAAATATAATAATTTTACAATAATTTACAACACTTTTCCCATTTTCTCTCAGTGCACAGAAGATAGCTTTCAAGTCTTGAAGTAATCTTAATTAAAGTGCGTCGTCTGACTGAAGTGGCCTTTGTTGGTGTGAATAAAGTGGATTTTTCTTGACTTCATTTTTGTATTCTTTTTTTTTTTTTTTAAAGGTGGTCCCCTTTTTTTTGCTGTTGTATTACTTGTAGTTGTTTTCCCTGCAAAATGGCGGCAAAAACAACAAGTACTCGATACGAAACGGAAGTGAGTTTGCGGTTTTTTCGGCTCGGGATTGGGATTGGGTTTTTTAAAGATCGAAATGGGGAAATTGCTGGACCAGGGGGGGTCAAGGGGGTTGGTTGACTGCGGCCATTGGTGGCACATAATAAAAACAAAAACTAAAAAAAAAAAAAACTGCTCCTTTTTTAAAGAAATAAAAGAAAGCAACAAAAAAATATAAACCAAACCGATGTTGGCTTGCCACAGTTGGCCGTTTTATGGGCCAAAAAGATTCCATTTCAATATGTGTGACATTGTTGCTCGAACCCCTCTGGTACCCTGCTCCTGCCCAGCAGCCTGCATCTTGCATCTCCGAAGCTCTGTGGCTCCGAGGTGAAGCTGCTGCAACAGCTGCGCAACCGCATTTGGATTGATTTGTGGCCAAAGCTGGGAACCCGCAAAAAATACCAAACTAACCCCAAAACCCCAGAACCCTCGACATACAAACATATGTACATATATGATGTACTCTCGGCGTCCCACTGTCCCGAGTCCCTTAATTAAATGCAAACACGAACGGAGACGAGGTGTGAGTTTGGCAAACCGACTTTGGAGCAGATGCCAGAATGCATCAAGATGCCGGATAATGATGCCGATGACGGCGGGTCATCAGATGCTCCTGTCGCTGCCACAGGTGTCTGAGCCTGAATTGTTAATAATTAAATTAACTTGTACATTTTATAGGTTTAAAAAAATAATTTACGTTATAATTTCGATCTATTTCTTCTTTCAACTTACAAATGTTTTCTCTCCCTAATAATCTTCTCCCTGGCATAATCTGAACCCAATTTCTTTGAATTTTGCAACGATTTCCGCTGAATTCCTCGCTTTGTTGTGTAAATTAACAGCTTAAGCGCCACATTTAAATATTTATGACTTAACAGCAACAACAAAAAGACCAGAGCTTCAAGTTTTTTTCCCCATAGAGGCTTTGATTCGATTCCGATTCAGAGTTGGATATCTCGCTTCGATTCGGGCATTTCCGGTTCCAGCTCTCGAAAAAAAAACCAACAAAAAATATAAACAAAACGAAAACCAAAGCAAAACAAAACGTATTGCATTTGTTGCTATTATTGTTGCTTTTGGTTAATTGAAAGACGTCGTCGGCCAAGTCAACGATGTGTCATTCCCCCATTGACAATGCCCGGTACACTTTCGTCTGTATTTTAGCCTCGTTCACATTCAAAATCCAACTGCCCCCGCCTTCGAATGAAAAAAAAACCCAAAAAAAATGTGTGTGTGTCGAGGTGCTTTTTTATAGAATTTAATATATATTAACTTATGCAAATAGAACTGTCAATACCGATTCAATTGTTTACTAGACTTGGTCATAAATATCGATAATATCGATAATACTGTGCTGGTTTCTAACGCTTAAATCGACATATAAAGCGATAACTTCTACAGACATATTTGCGAGAAGTCTTTTGATTGATTTACAGCATCAAGTTAATCGAAAAAACAGTTTTCTCTTAATTATTAAAAATTTTATAATCTTTTAAATTGAAATATTTTATAGTTTCAAAAATATCAGAAGCTGGAAAAGCAGTGAAGGAATCATTTTCCACCCTATAAATTATATATATTCTTAAGCAGCATCAACAGCCGAGTCTATTTAGCCACTTGAAAGAGAAAAAAATAATTTCAGAAATTTTCAAAATATATTTCTCAGATACCCATTACCCTAGCTAAAGGACCCCATCGGAGAGGGCAGCGATAAAGAAACATTTATAAATTAATTAGCATAAGCAAAGCGCTTTGGTCTGGGCTTAACACCGGCGACTTGCCGCGGCTCAGATTTGTCTAGTTCCAAACTGGCCACTGACTCATCCGCCTCCGTGACTCAGTCCCCGGTTCCAGTTAGCCTCTGCTCTCTCTTTCTCTGTCTCTCCGCCAAAAATTATTGATAAGTTTTTACAGCAAAAACAAAAAACAAGAAATAATAAAAAGAAATATCAAAAATCTATAGCAGAAAATGAAATTTTCCATTGGCTGGCAGGAGAAGCTCATGGCAACCCAAAAATAGCGCCACATGATAATGGAGATATGATAATAGATCCATCATCTTGGCCATATTGCAGATGGTTTGGTGTGAACTGGTTAGAGCCAACGCTTCGCTTTTGGCCAGCATAGCGCGTGCTCTGCTTTGGGCCAAGCCTCTCTGAGGTGGCTAAAATTAGTTCACTAGCTGGCTGGATGGATGTTGATGTGGATGTGGATGTGGATGTCCTCCAAGAAGGTCTCGCATGCGGTTGCCAAATAGGGGCGTGGCATGTGGTTAAAGTTGGGTACAAAATTATCAAATTATTTCAGAGATTTCCTTCAAATCCAAGCAAACAAAAAATATATATGAAAATATTTCTATTTGGGAAATTTAATATTTAAAAGTTTCTAAATTATTCAAGATACATCTTAAACCTATAATTTTTCAAAGTATTTTCCATTTTCCTTGCTTTTTAAGTACTCTATTTTCTTAGCTTTTAAATTGTTTAACAAGTTCTTAAATCTATTTTAAGCTGCTTCCCAAGGATTTCCCAAATCAGAATACCTTTATGTATATATTCCGTCTGAATCTGAACTATTTTTAAATCGGGCTTTGGGAAAATAAATAAATTAGCGAGCGAATGCCAAAAACAAAGCGAGCCATAAAAATACCAAAAATAAATCAAGATCGGCTCGGGGCGAGGCAGGGCGTTGAAGGGGGGTGTATATGCCAGGTTGATTAACTTAATTAAAGCGTTTAGGGCAGCCTGGTGCCAGTCAACGAAAATGCACAGACAGACAGACAGACAGACAGCTGGACGGACGTGGACATATCCAACCCAAAGCGTGGCCAGCTTTCATCGCTAACAACTCCATTCAAAGGGTCAATAAAAAGGTGGGGGCAAACACTGGGAGACATTATGGTTACTTATTACAGATTTTAACTGGTAAATGTATAAATTCTTCGAAGAAGAGATGCCCACACCAAGCATCCAGGAGGCTTTAGGTCTCCTCTGAGGCCCTAAGATCACTGTCTGCACCTCTATTTTTTATTAAGAATTATTATGCCATTAATTATCCATTTATTTTAGCTTAAAATAAACAAAAATTGTAAAAATAAAGAAGCCTACCTTGAATGTGCGGCGCATTTGGCTTGTAGACCTGGCAGTCCGAGTTGATTGTACTATTCGGCGATGAGTAATTGCTGCTCAATTGCTGCACCAGCCCGGCACCGGGTCCGACTCCGCCTCCACCACCGCCGCCGGCCAGGCCGCCACCTCCGCCCGCTGGCGTGACCGCCACCGCTGCTGCGGCCGCTGCAACAGCAGTAGCCGCTGTGGCGGCCGTTGCCGCAGCAGCAGCGGCCGTTGTGGCAGCCGCCACTTTTGCCGAGCGACGCAGTGTCTCCAGCTCATGGAGAGCCTTTGGGAAGCCATCGATATAGGGCCGCTGGCCAATGCCCAAGGCTCGATAGTGTGGACCACCTGTGGGACCTATTGAAGATGGAAAGATTTGCATAAGAAGATGCTGGGAGGAAGTATTAACATATGTACTTAGAGTTATCCAAAGATCCTTTAACCCCAAATACAAACTCCATTTTGTCTTCTTTTTCGATTGCTGCAACTCAAGGTAAGCTAAAACTGCACTCTATATATACACAGCTGCACCTTACAGGTGAGCTTGTATGTATTTACCTACGTGTATATGGTATTACCTGCCCTACATGCGATTAACGCTTTAGCGAAGACTTAAAAATGCATTAACAAAATATCAAAAGGGAAAAAAAATTAATTCATATATGCATTACACAAGCTAAAAACTCGATTTAAAAAAAAAATCAACAAAAACAAAACAGAGCGCAAAAAGGTTTTCTTTGCTAACCGCAACATTTTCAGAAACCGTAAGAGCAGACGTTGCCTTCCCTTTATCCATGTGTACATATTATATATATATTTTATTCTTCTCTTTTTTTTCAGTCAGCTAAAACCGGCTGCACTTTTCAAACACCTTCCCGAATGACAGAGCCCACAGAAATGGCGTTCGTCGGATGTCAAACTATCCTGGGACAGAAGGAGAAAGGATCTCGAAATGATAAGATGTTGGAACGATACATTTTTGGTACAAAATCTATAGATTACTTCATGTTTAGTTTATATTTTTTAAGGATATAGGTAAGGCTAGAAAAAGATGATAGTTATATCTTCTGAGACTTCATATATGAAATTTTCTCTGTTGAAAAAGAAGCACCTTAAAAAACAATCTACACTTAAAACGATCTGTAACCTTGATCTTTCTTTATTTTAATTTATTTTTTTAAAGGGCTAATATTTAATTATAATTAAGAGCTAGCTAGGGAGTTTGGGCTATGGCAGCAGGGTCCTTCAGCTCTAACCTTGATCTTAAAAATCCTTAAAATAGCTAACAAAATTCTTAAAATTAAATATTCAATGAGATATTTAATTATATTAAAAAGCAAATATAAAAAATACCATATATAATATATATATATATTTCTTTCTCCAAAAAAAAACATCATTCAAACATCTTGTGTTGCACTGGTAAATGGGGATTATCTCTTGAGTACGATTATGGGCAATTGAGCAGATCGGCTTAGCCATTGAGCCCGGCTTAAACACTTGCCTAAATGCCGGGCCAAGTGACTCGGAATACGGTATTAGGAATTACGGGCGGCAAAAGCGGACAGCAAACATATGTTGCAAGGCCATGTTGAAACCCAAAACGCAGCGGGGCGGCTTTTCACAAGTTCCCCCCCTGTTTTTCCTACGTTTTCCCATTGTGTTGTGAGTGGTGGCTGGCAAGTGATAATTACTAATTGCCAAAACAATGAGGCCCACTTATATTTACTATTATATTCGACACGGAAAAGGTAAAAAAAAAAAAAAAATGATAAAATGGAAAGCAACCATTCAAGGATTATTTGTATTATCCTTTGAAGTACTACCTACTAGAGCTGCCTTTGAGTTATGTTTTAAATTTCTGTAAAGCATTTTGTTTACACTAAATATATATTATTATTAAACCATAATTCCTTTAATATCGACTGGCACTTACTTGTCTTTGAGCGCGGCTCTCGGGGTCCATCGACGGTCACCTTGATGGCTTTGGCGTAGGTTGCCACCTGCGGCGGACTCGTGGCCACCGTGATGGTCAGGGTAAAGCTCTTTCCTGCAATAGATACACACAGAGAAAACACGAGAGTCACTAGCGGCACATGCCAAAGGAAATTAGAGAATGGTGCAAATGCGGGAATTGAGTCGTAAAAGTCCTCCGAAGATTTACACAACGACCTCACTGGGCTGCTACCGAATCAATTTGTGGCTCCGAAATTACCAAAAAAAAAAAAAAAACCAAACCAAACCCCTTTCAGCTCGAGGAACAAACACGCGTCGTGGGACTACCCCTTCAATAACTGCTTTTTCTTTGGGTCTTTCGGCGAAAGTGTGAGTTTGTGGTCTCAGGGAACTCGGTAACCCGCACAGTTATCGTTATAAATTTTGGTATGTGGCATACCTACACTATACTGTGATGGCTAGAACTCGTTTCGGTTGGGTTAATATAGAGAAAAATAAACTGATCTCAAGGAACTAGGTTATGGTAAGAGTTATCTTAGTGAAATTTGGTATGTGGCATGCCTACACTTTACTATAATAATTAGATTTCGTATTGGCGAGGATAATATTCCGAAAACCAACTGATCTCAGGGAACTAGTCAAGGGTTAGAGGTATCATTATGAATTTTGGTATGTGAGCTTTTTATATATTAAGTTAAGTCTTAGGCAAGTTAGAAAGGGATTTTATTTAATATAAATTGTATAAGAGACCGTATTCTTATGAATTTAATACTTATAATAACTCACAGTTTCAAGATCTATTAATAAGAATTATACTATGTATTAAAATGGATATTTTTGTATCCCATTTCTGGCCCAAAACAATAAGGTATCACCTACGTCGAGTCAAAGGATTATAAACGCCTGGCTGTGCAGATTATTCGAAACTCTTGACATAAATTTCGTTTATCCCATGGTAATGGCTGCCGCCAAAAGTTGCTTTCAAAGTGCACATAAAATGAGGGAATGTTGCAACCTGTCTTCCGCCCAGCCACGCCCCCATTTGTTATATGTATTATTTTATACTCTTTGCATATTTCTTGCTCTGACAGGAATAACATACTGCAGCGGCAACATTGTGGCCCAAATGAGTTTATTTTTGGGCTTGACCTTATGTTTGCACTATTTATGGCCATTAAACTAGACACCGAGACCGTTTGAAACGGCTGCCATCTAATAACCTGTAGAGGCCACAACGTCGTTTATCGATTTCAGAATTCTGAAATGAATTTCGTTCATTTTTTGCATTCCGTTGGCAGTGCTCCTCTCCGTCTGTCTGTGTCTGGGCAGTTTGGAACTGCAAACAAAGCTACATGCATATAATTAAACACCCACAAAGCGACAATGTTGTTGCGGAAACAGGTCCAGCAACAGGACCAGAAGCGGTAGAACCAAGAGCAGAAGCAGTAGCAGGAGGAGGAGCAGGAGCAGGAACAGGAAAGCGGAGACAGAGCCGTCCCAACTAACCGCAGAAACCTCAGTCGCATCCCCAGTTCATCTATAGGGCCCACTCCCTTGCTCTGTCTATGTGCAGTTGTGCGTGCGAGAGGGACAGAGTCCTGCACAGGGAGAAATTAGCAGTAGGTAATTTCACAATTTAACTAAAGACAAATTCTTAGCTTTATAAAAATTCCATTAATTGGATTTTTAATAAATAAACTTATATTTAAATATTAAAACTATATAATACAATTTGTTTTGATATCAATTATGTGTAGTTTTTTTTTCTGTGTACTTTTACAGAGGCAAAGCGGTAGGGTTAATAGGCCCAGACATTGAGAGCGAGTCCTACTTGATGAAAATTGCATTTAACTTTTAATTGAGAGTTTTGGACTGTTGGCAGGTGAAAAACAAAGTAAAGGGGAATTAAATAAAAAAAAGAGAATATACATAGATAGAAAGATATGGAAAATATAGAAATTTTATTCACTTTTTTATTAAATAATTTAATTTAGAAAAAATCGAAGACAACTCTGTGATTCTTTTAGTAAACTTAACAACATTTTTCTATGAACTATTTTAATTTATAAACTTCAAACTAATAACTATTTGTTTCCATAATTTTGTAATGCTAAAAACGTATCGTAACTCGACTTATTTCAACTGCATCTTCCATTAGAAATCTCCGACTTCAAACTAGATACAATGAAGGACTGCCTCGGCTACAATATAATTGAAGGCTTTGATGAGTTCATTAACCGAAACCACGAACGAGAGTGGGTATAGCTGGAATGGCCATCAGTTAGAAAGCGTTTTGGACTCTCGAAATGTCTTCATTATTATTGGGGTATAACCCGAAAATTGTTGCCATGTTGCGTGAGCTCCCTTTTTGGGGGCCTCATTTCGGCCGAAAGAAAGAGCCAGCGGAGAGGTGAACTCAAATTAATCAAGTGCCGCCAGAAGAAACTGTTAAATAGGCCTGGTCTCCTTTTTCTCCTTTGCTCATTTTTCAACAAAAAAATCTAGAGCATCATCGTATGTAAAAGTTCGTTAGAGTAATTGGAAAATGTTATTGCCGAGCGGCGGCACTGCCACTGCCTCTGCCTCTGCCTTTTGTCTTTGTCTTTGACGCAATGATAAAATATCGGACTACGCGATCCGCTAAAGACCCCCAAAATGGAAGCGATAATGGCCGTAATGGACAAAGATTGGCTCCAGACCCTTGCTCCAAATTAGTCATCATCAATGAACAATGCCCATGGGGAGCATCGCAGCTCACGCACTTGGACAGTCTCGTCGTCAGCCGTCTTTATATATACATATATATATATAATATATGGTACATACGTCATTCTCGGATCTAAATATATATCCGTGAGCCTATCCACAGTCATGAGCCATCGGCTCAGTAAGCGATAAGCGTTCACAACTCTGTGGGAACCCAGAGGCTTTGGCGATAAGGCTGGGAGCTACTACGACTATGGAGCATATGGAGCATACGGATTGCATAACATTTTCGGCTGGGAACTTCGGCCAGGCAACCTCTCCCAGGGAAGTCGACATCGACATCGACATCGACATATTCTAGGGCTAAAGCAATGAAAAGCCAAAGAGTTCCCAGACTGATATCGATGGCATATGGGGTATATATGGGGAGCAGGAATGTTCTCTATAAGGAAAGCCTTTTTGGTTGGTATTTTTGAAGGGTTTTCAGTTAAAAGTTGAGAAATATATAAATTCATTCATAATAGAAATATCTTTATTAGGATATTAGTATGGATAAACCTCCCCGACTTCTCCCTTTCCTAATATACATATATATATTTTCCTGAAATACCTACTCCCAGTTTCTGTTTATTAAGCAATTGCTTCTTCAGAATATTTCAAATATTCATCCCATTAACCTCTTGCCCCATGCTCCCACGTATAAAAAACACTGCCATTCAACCACTAAGTCGGATCAGGGACCCATCCCTTCCCATTCAAGTTTATCGGCATCGCGCGCAACCCTTTCCCTAACGAATCCTGATGCGACTTATGAATTCCTGTTGGCGCGTGTCCTTCATTTGCTTTGTTTTCACATTTTAATCCCCTCGCCCGCCCAAAAGTCAAGTCCTTTGATATGATAGCAGGACGATGATTGTAATGTCAATGCTGGTAATTAAGCGGACTAATAAGGATACGTCCATGTGTCCAGGACGGCCTACATAGTAGCTCTGAAATGATCCATGTCCGAATCAGATTCCCATTTAGAGTTTTACGGTAAAGCAGGGGAAAATTAAAAATATGTCGACGCATGCCATGTCCAGGACCAAGAGGCGATAAATTGCCACGCCCCAACCATTTAATGAAGCCACTCTCCGCCCCCTTAGTCACCCCATTCTGCTAGAAAAAAAAGGCAGTAACAAAAGGAAAACAAGAGAAAAGGAGAGAAAAATACAAAGCTGGAGCCAATTGTATTGTTTGATACCCTTTTAAAGGAGCTAAAGGGTATATCGGGTTAACAGGTTACCATTAAACATATTTAACTTGATAAAGAAATAAGACTTAATTTTTTATTAAATAAACTTTGATCTTTACAGGAAGCCTTGGCATTACTTAAACAAGAAATCCTTCCAATTGATAAATATTAATTAAATATTTGGTCACATTGTTAAGGAAACTTAATATGGCTTTTTAGAGCTTTAATAATATTTCAGATAGTTTTTATAATATTAAAGACTATTCCAATTGGGATATTTTAATAGAATATTACTTTGAAAAGGTTTTAATATATTATTTTTAAGCGGAATATTGAATATTTTTTTTTGCAATAATTACAGAAGTTGTTAGTGAAGTTTAGTGAAAAATCGAAAGCTTTTTAACGATTTTTTTTTTGTGGAAACTGGGTATTTTAAGGTTCATTCTCTCTGGACCCACTACACCCAGAATCCAGATATATGTACATACATATATTCTCGCTTACTGTGCGCTTTTTCTGCCCCTTGACATGGAGCTGTTTTCGCTCGCTTTGTCATCTAATCAGAAATCGCCGCATGATGTCCGCGGATTCAGACTCAGCGATGGAGATGGAGGTGGAAATGGAGATGGAGATGGAGCTGGGGGCGTGACCATTAAATGAAGCGAACTGCCGTTGACAATTTGGTCAGCGCTTATGCTCTTACATCATTAGCTTGTTATTTGCATGCGCCATGGCCCTCGTTTTTGGGCGGGGTCATTGTTGTAATTATTTTGTTTTGGCCCTTTTGCGGCACGAGCCGTCAATTTGCAAGGCGGGAAGGGAGGGAGGGAGGTAGCCAGCCAGCCAGGGAGGCAGGGGAGGGGAATAGCTTGACTTAGGGTCGGCACTCAGAACAGTTGCAGCTAATTAGCCAACTGGTGCTGCCGCTGCTGCAAATTCTATGCACTGCCACCTTAATTGTGGGTTCAAATCGATTACCAAGAGACCAGAGGCCCGAGAACATTGCGTGCTGGCCATGCTCATACCCATCCCATCCGATACGGATCGTACGCTGCCCAGCCATTTCCATATGGATCGGAAAGGAGCCCAAGTGTTGCACATCGCATGTTGCATGTTGCCCCGAGGACAGCGCCAACTGCAGCCTAATGTGACGACTGCTGTACCATTGATCCTGTCCTGGCCTGTCCTGTCCTGTCCTGTCCTGTCCTGCCCTGTCCCGAGCCCTCTTCATTGATCGGTTAAAGTCAAGGAAAAGGAAGGAAGGCATTAGCGAATTATGGGGGCTAAGAACTTTTGGCATGTCACTCAATCAATGCACTTCCGATCCAGTTTGTTAAAAGTTAATTTTAGCCTGAAGCTGGCCAAAGGTTCTCAGCATATAACAAAGATATAGAAGATGTAACAAATAGAGAATCAAGAAAATTCTCACAATTCTTAAAATTTTGAAAACTGAAGAGATAGATGATAGCTTTTCCCTCATAATTCGGGAAAAACTTAACTCTTAGTATTGTCTTTAAATTAGAGATAAATGATCGAATATTCGTTATTATTCACACCTTTGCTTCCCTTATAATGTTACCTCCCAATATCATAACAAAATCAAAGATCGACCATCTATATTCCCTTTTAATTTTCTCGTTTCTTTCCCATATAATTTTACCTTACAACTCCCACCTTCTTTTCTCCTTCTCTTATAGTTGTCTTATAACCTCCAAATATCATCTTAATATTACAGATCAATAATCACTTTTTCCCGTTATAATTCCCAAGTCATAATTCCGCAACAACTCACCTCTTCCGCTGCGACCCACAAATCGCAGATCGTTGAACTTGGCCACATCGTTCTTCATCTGGGCAGTGCAATTCCGGAGCTCCGCGCAGCAGTTCTCATCGTTACCGGCCCGGATGGTGACGTAGGTGCCATCGCCCACCTCCGCCAGGGCGACGACCTTGAAGGCCAGCGGCAGCGTCTTATTGGAGCGCCAATGGGAGGGCAGGGCGGAGCACAGAAAGTACGGATTGCTCGTGCGCACTGGAAAATACAGAGGAGCGGAAATGCGGAAAACCGGTTAGGTGGTAAAGGTGGCAATAATTAAATCACACTTTCGCGGCCCACTTCAAAAATTGTGTAAAAATGCTTAATAATTTATAGTTTATGGCAGTCCATAAATATCAATCACCAGAGTTCTAGGCTTCCAGAGTTTCGGAGTCCAGTGTCCTTTGTCCGCCATCCGGCGGTGCATAATTAATTAATGAGTGAGGGCATTTCATCAGGATTGGCCCCGGAGGAGGGTCCACAGATGACGTTTGACATTTGACCCGGTGTCGAAAGTGGAACAGAATGCGCCACAACGCTGGCTGACAGCCAAGGGAGAGGAGAGGGAAGGGGCTTTTGGGGCCGGATAAATGATTTATGGACTCTCGTCTGTCGCTGGGGATATAATTTGCAAAATCTAATAGAGATAATCATTAAATTTAATTGGTGAAAGGGTTGCCCAATCAATTTAAGGATCACTTTTAGGTATTTTATGGAGTTAGATTTTATACATATTTGTTGTAAAATCAGCTTTTTCTTAAAAAAAAAAAACTAAAGAATAATGTAAAGTTCCTTATTGATAACAAATATTTTTTAATAATTAAAAAAATAAAAAAATTTAAGAATTTAAACTACACAAATATCTTAGTATTTATTTTAAATTTTTAATAATTATTATTAGCCCCTGCAACTCGGTCAACTCTTGAGAGCTGTTGCAAGTTTCTTGGCGTTAAGATAGATTTGTTTAATGAAAAATAAACTTGAATTTTAAAAATATAAAATATATAAAAGCCTATATTATTTAATTTCAACATATTAATGACCACAACAAGCCTTTGCGACTCTTTCATGTCCCAAGATTCTTGATTACAGAATCACTATACTAATGTTTTCTCTCTTTATAAAATTTTATAAATTATATATTCTAGTCAACGCTTAAAAAATGTAATTTTAAATATATAAATACTTATTTTTTTTAAATTTCAACACTCTTAAAATTATGACAAGCCTCTGGCAAGTCCTGAGAGCTGTTGCAATACGATATCGGGGCAATCCATTCACAGCCGCCCAGCCCTCCCGTTGACTTCATTGAGCACAAGTTATGAAAGGACACAAAAATACAAGAAAAAAAGCATCCGTGTGGAGAATGGGGGAACCAGTTCAACCCGGCGATCGGATTCGGACTCGGACTCGGCTTTCAGCCAGAAGGGGAGCTGGGAGCGATGAGCTGGGGACCAGCAGCTTTCATTAGCAGCTTTCGCTCTGGGTCATTGATATCGTCAGCGTATCTGGTCGCATTCTGCGAGAGTTCAGCAGGCAAGAGAAAAAATAAAAAAAAAACCAAGACTCGTGCGTTGATATCAATAACAATTATTGATATCAATTTACGCATACTCCCCGTCAGCGACTTCGGGAATCCGATAATGCTAAATATAATCACGATCGCGATGAGGAAGCCCCAGAAGTGCATTGTGCAAGGATGTGGCAAAGAATGTGCGCTCCACCACCGTTGGGGCATAGGGTAATCCAACAGATACCCTCGTGTATCTGTATCTGAGCGATCCCTGCTATCTGGGACTTGGACACGAGCTAAATGGATTCGGTTTTTTGATGTTTCATGTGGGAAAATTAAAGAGTATTTTAACCTATTATTATCTGTGCAAGGTTCGAACTTCGAAGTAAAGTAAAACATTAATTTAAACAAAAAGGATATTAAATATTGAAAAATATTAACAATAGATATATTACCTTATAAAAATCATATTTATATGGATATTATTATTTTTTATATATATTTTTATAAATTATAATATCCCCCCTTTAAGCTTTTAACCAGCTTATAGACACTTACCTAGTTCGCCGGGATGCTCCTGCTGTCGCTTCTGCACCAATCGCTCCATCCACAGCAGATCCTGGTGCACTGCATTATTGTTATTGTTGTTGTTGTTGTTGTTGTTATTGCTGTTGCCGGCGCTATTATTATTATTATTGTTGCTGTTGCCATTGCTGGTGGTGCTGCCGCTATGTCCACTATGAGCAGTACCATTGCTAGCACCACCAGTGGGCGAACTGCTGCCCACACTGGCACTGCTGGAGACGGCCAGGGCCACGACCTCGGAGGCCGTTCCACCTGCCCCGGCGGTGGCGGTGGTGGCTCCTTGTCCAGCCGCAGTTCCCGCTCCCGAACCCACAGCTGTGACTGCCACCGTGCCCTTGAAGTCACCGGTGGTGCTGCTCCAGCCATTGCCCGTTGGCGAGGCGGAGGACGAGGTGACCATTGCGGGCGGATGTGAGGCAGCCGACGGATAGGCACCGCTGTACGGCTGAACGGGATGGTACGGCGAGGGGGCGTAGGGGGCGTAGTGATGATGCAGGTGATGGTGGTGGTTATGGCCACCGACACTGACTCCGCCGACGCCGCTGCCGATGCCGCCGCCACCGACACTGGTGCCGCCCAGGCCGTTCAAGCTGCGAGCGAGGCGGCCGGGACCGGCGATGCTGACGGGCGCCACAGTGGCTCCGGTTGCTGCGGAATCCGCTAGGGCTCCGCCTTCGCCTCCGCCCGTATGGCTATGGTCCGCTGGAGGCGTCTGTCTGTCCTGTCTGGCTGCCACCAGGAGCGGCAAATGCATTCGGTGTCGCCGGAGCTGGCGGTGGCGCTTTGATCCGTTTCTCTCAGTGTGCGGGTCGTAGAACGCGGTACGCAAGTCTGGAGCTTATCTCGGTGGCGCTGGCGACGGCGGTGTCCCTTGTTCACTCATCAATAAACTCTAATCTCTGGAGAAGTCACAGAGCAAAAAAAACAAGCAAACAAACAAATAACTTAACAATTGAATATTGTCTTAAATCTAGATCTCACATTAATCGTCATAAATAAGGGGATTTCGCATCTTCAAACTACAACAAATACTTTTTGTTTTTTTTAAATATAAATATATAATTTTGCTATATATTTTTTGTATATTTATTTTACCATAAGCATGTCATTTATTTTCAGGAATGATTTCTTAATTTTTGAACTAAAAAATAAATGACAAAAATAATATTTACCACTGGATCATTTCATAAAATGAATATATCTTCAATTGAAATATGTATAATAATTTATTATTCTTCTTTGTTCTTGTTTGATTTTGTTCTGTTTCTTTTTAAATATTATTTCTATTTACTTTTCTTCTGTAAAATTATTTTGAATTTAAAAATATTTAAATTTTTCATTATACTTTAAATAAAAATAATATAGCAAACTAGGTTATTTCAACATGTAATTTTATTTTATTTTAACTTGAAACTTAAACACACAAAAATTCATTTATAATCATATCATTAAAGCGAGTTTTAGAACAAATATTTTAAAATATTTATTAAACAAATTAATGATTTAATAAACCTTCAATATTATTGTTATCGTTTTAAAATATAAATATAATGCATTATATTGTATTGTTTATATTATTATAACTAGTTTTTTTTTTTACCATAAAGTTTATATTGTTTATTGCTTTCTTTTAAATCCATCATTAAATTTAAAAACTGCTACCAGTTTCTGGCTTAATTTCCCTAGATAAAATTAGATTACTTTTTCGTTTGAACTTGAGCTGAGAAAAGCCCAAACTGATGTTGTAATTCCCGCACCGTCACTGTGTATTTAATAATATTTAATTTATTCCGGGGATAAGCACAAAAATCGCTGCTCTTCGATGCTTTTCGCTGCTGCCTACTTTGAGGCGCCTACGAAGGGGCTGCTCCTCATTTTTATTCACTTTGATAAATTAGTCACAAAAATTAGCATTGCTGCTATTGTTGCTGTTTATATCGAGCATGCTTTGGCCAGATGATCCCCGGACTTGATTTGATTAGTTACTGTTATTGTTTGCACTTCACTTTGCCGAAAATAAAATTATTTATTTATTGTTTGGCACTGAATGAATTTCTCTTTTATTGCTCGACGGGACGGGCCTTCTTTTCTGTTTAATTTGGGTTTATTCAACGAATATTCAAAGTTTATTGTATGTTTTAAAAATGATTAATTTAGTTATTTAATTTATTTACTAACATTAAGGTAGTTTTACATACATGAAACATTTTCTTACGAATTTTTAAAATTAAAAAAATTAACTTTAACTTTGAATTTTACATGTAAAATAAACTTTAATGTTCTGACAACTAAATTATTTATAAATAACTTATTGCAATTATGAAAAAACACTACTTCTTTATTTTAATTAAAAATTATGCCAGTTTTAATTAAATTTAAGATCACTTTGTTTATGTTTTCTTTGTTGATTACATTGTACAACACTTTGTTTATGCTTTCTTCATATTAAAATAAGATTATATCCCTTTGTTTAAACTTTTGCTCAAAGAAATTTGAGTTCTGGCGACGATTTTCCTTTACAGTATTGCATTTTGGCGCCAAGTTTGGCTGCCTCTTTTTCGATATTCAAACACTTACACACTGTTTTTTTATTAGTTTTATTTTGGCATCAGTTTTTGCATTAAACTCGTAGGCAAAAACAACAACAATAAAAAAAAATAGTGGTAACACGAGAAACGGTAAGGCGTTTTTTTTTTTTATGAAAAGTTTAAAAAACTGTGTAAACAATGCAAAGAATAATGCTCGCGTGTCGTACTCTAAATCGTTACTGAAACCGACTTTTAACTTTTAACTGCGGCAACGGCAACGCTGCCGAACGTCTGCCGAACGAACGAACGAAGCCGAGCTCGAACGTAGTAACAAAGCCGAAGCCGCCGTTCGCTCGCTCTCTGCCGTTGCCGTCGGCGCTCTCTTATCCAGTGTGTGGCACCGGCTATTGGAGAGCGGCTTACCGTTATGCACCGCCCAGCCTCTGATTGGCCGGCCGTGCAAGTTGGTGGCAGTTGTGCAGGTGGCACGTGGCCAAAAAGCTGCGCCATTGGGTGGAGCCTCTTAGCCGGTGTCCGTGTGTCTGTTACTCCACCGGCGAGAGAACCAATGCCGCCGCGTGGGAGGAAGGGAAAAGGGAAGAGAGCGAAACGGTCGATGGGGACGCTCTTTAGTTAGTCGCTCTTTGGGTTCGTCAACTACACAAAGTAGCTCAGATTAAGAGCGAAACTTGGCTTAGGTGGGAATTTGCCATTAAATTGCTAATCTTGTGGTCCACCTCTCTTTGGTGGCGAGACTTTCACATAGCTGGGAAAATCTTAAAATATCTTATATCTAATTGTAACTCAGACCAAATTGGGAAATTTAATAAAAAGGTGAAAAAACGTATAAATTGATTATATCAAGATTAAAATAATCCCAATTATATTATATAAACTTTTTTTTTTAGAGAAATATCTTAAAATTTTATCATATTTATATTTTATTTTAACCCAAAAACTGTTAGAGCTTATTATAAATGTCTTAGAATTCCCAACTGGGTCTAGCTTCCAACAGGTGGTGGCCACTCTAAATACTAATGCAGGTGCCACTTTTCCCCACTTTTTCCCTTTTGAATACTTTGAACCACATTTAATATTTAAAATTTTATCATTGTTTTCTGTTATCGTGAAACAAAGTTAATTAAAAATGTTACCATGTCTAGCAGAAATAAAAACAATATTCCAAATGCTAAATGCAGAAGTGCTCCATGTGTTTTCTTTCTGGAAAGGCGTATGATAAGGAGTTGGAAACCTTGGTTTGTGGTCAAAATAAAACCTTATCAATTTCGAACCACAGAAGCCTCTTTTTCTCTGAGAGTCGATTTAAATAGTGTTTGCTTTAAACGTGTTTATTATTATTATTAATACATATCTACAACTTATCAGCTGAAATATGTATGGGGAACTCAGAGTTTATCACCAAGCCTACGGACTATGGAAATGTGATCGTGGGAAAACAGCAGCTTATCTGCAAATTAGCGAAATTAGTGAACAAATCCCAAACCCAAAATTGACATGCTAAAATAGCAAACTTGTAAAGAAATTTTTCCAAGTGTAATACAGAATAAGAGTGCTTTGTATAATGCAGAGGCTAAAAGGTGTTGCTCAACAATTACTAACTTGCCTAGTAACATTTTTCTTTTATAATATTATTAAGTTTTTATTTTAACAAGTGTTTTTTTTTTTAATTTAAGGGGTAATATTAAGGAACATAATTAAACAATTGATACTACCAAAATGAAACAAAAGTAAAATAGTTAAAAACATAAAAAACAATATTTTGTATTCAAAATATATAGATTTTGTGACATTCTGAATATTTTCAAATTTTCATCTGGCAAAACTGAGTGATTTTACACTTGGTACCAATTGGGAATTACACCCCATTTTACATTCAGATTGGGAATTCGACCCCATTGCTACATTTGACACTATTTGTAAGTAAAACTTGCATTTGACACATCAGGCCACACTTTTTTAGAGATTTCGATAACATCGATGACTTCGATGTTTTGATGTTTCCTATCGTTCGTATTATTATCATTACTGAGTTTTTTCGCTTATTGTTGTTTTCCTTTTTCCCCAGTCGCGAAGTGCGTTAATATATACATAGAGATATATCTCAAAATCCAGACAAACTGGAGAAGTGGAAGAGAACGCGAAACTCCACCAAAAAGATGGATGAGCGAGGAGGCGGTGGTGGTGGCGGGGGCGGCACTGGAGGATCAACAACAACGGGCAACAACAAATCAGCTGCTGCTGCTGGTGCAGCTTCTTCGGCGGCGGCGCCTGTTGATAAGCCAACGGTTTTGGAAGGTAAAGAAAAGACGGCAAAAATAAACAAAGAAAGTGAAGAAAAGGGAGAAAAGAGCGTTGAAAGATATACATAACTGTGAAATCGCACAGATACACATACATACGCTGTCTAATGCGGATTTCTCATGTGTGTAATATGGGCGTTTTTGCCCCCCCCCCCATACCCTCACCGCTTGGCTGAATGATAAAAAGTAGCCCTTTGTCCTGGTCTAAAAATACAACTACGCATTAGCTTTGGCGCCAGGACACAGACACACACACACACGCACACGCATTGCCAAAGTCCTGCGCTTGGTTAATTTCAGGGTGGAGTGAGGGAGAGAGAAAGCACAGGCATTACGCCTGTTATCTATGTGCGTTGTTGTCTTTTGCTACGTGTGTGTGTGTGCAAGACCTGTTGAATTTTAATGCCCCATAAAATATAAACGAAATCTTACTTATAAAATTAACCTAATGAAACCCTAAAAGTGCATCTTTGCATCACGAAAACAACAATTGTTGCTGTTGTTGCAGCTTTTTTTCGTATGACAAATCAATACAAGTTGCAGCAACAACAACAGCGACATTTCACAATTACAACCACAAATTGCATTCGATTTCATTCACGCTGTTATGGTAGTGTGTGTGGGTGTGCAAAATGCAGATCTAGAAGTTCTAGAATTCTAGCTGTAGTTTCTCTGCAGCAAAGTATCTATAGCATTTAGGATAGTATCTCAAATTTCAGTTCCAAATCGTGCATATCTGGTATCACTTTGGGGTGACGTGTTCCATTTTGGCGATATCATCATCGGATGTTCATAGCCAAGGTGCACTCTTTTTTGTTCTAGATTTTTTTTTAATAATAGCAGTAAACAAATTATTATTATTCATTTTTTTAAAGTATTATATATATATATCGACAATTTATAATATATTATAATAATCGTGTAGAATTTAAAAAATATATAAACAAAACTAATGTACATTAAAATAATTCTTCTTGTCGTAAATATTTTTTTTTAATTTAATTCTCCATATTAAAATAAAAAATAAATAAATATTAATTTAATATATAGAAAAAGTATTATATTCTATATTCATATTTATTTAGTATTTATTATTTATTTTAATATGGAGAATAAAAAATTAAATAAATATGAATATAGAATATAGAATATAATTATTTTTGTATTAATAAATATATATATATTAATAAATATATATATATTAATAAATATATAGAAAAGGAAGAATTATTAAATTAAGTATTTTAAAATATATATATTCTATATATTTATTAAATTAATTCTTTTAATAATAGCAGTAAACAAATTATTATCATTTTTTTTTAAAGTATTATATATATATATCGACAATTTATAATATATTATAATAATCGTGTAGAATTTAAAAAATATATAAACAAAACTAATGTACATTAAAATAATTCTTCTTGTCGTAAATATTTTTTTAAAATTTAATTCTCCATATTAAAATAAAAAATAAATAAATATTAATTTAATATATAGAAAAAGTATTATATTCTATATTCATATTTATTTAGTATTTATTATTTATTTTAATATGGAGAATAAAAAATTAAATAAATATGAATATAGAATATAGAATATAATTATTTTTGTATTAATAAATATATATATATTAATAAATATATAGAAAAAGAAGAATTATTAAATTAAGTATTTTAAAATATATATATTCTATATATTTATTAAATTAATTCTTCTGTTCTGCATATTTAAATAAATATTAAATTTATTAACAAATTATTTGATACCTTAAATCGCATAAATTTTAAAATTTTGTAAAGAAACCAAAGCCTTAGCCTGAAATTTAAAGACATACATTTGCTGTTATTTATTTACAATTGACCAATTTGTTATATTATTTTCTTAAATTTAATTAATAAGCTTTTTGTCAAAAAAAAGCAATTGATAATACAAAAAAAAATATAAATAAAACCTTTGTCTTAACAAGTTAGGTCTATTGAAAGTGCGTTTGGTGCTATGACTAAGTTTATGTCAGCGTAAACTTGACTTTGGTCTGGAGACTCGTATTCCCTGAAAGCCTGATCTTTATTTTCTTATTTTATTTTAGAACTGAGACCACAATTAGTCACCGTTTGTTTTTTTTCTCTAGCAAACAATTGTTATCAGAAGCAGAATGCTTTCAATATGGCCTCTCTGTAAAGAAATATATAAATTTATATAATAATTAGGGATATATTATAAAAATCAACTAGTAATGTTTGTGTTTAGGGTTTGTTAATTTATTATTATTTTTTTTTTATTATATTTTTATTATTATAAATAAAAATCATTAATAATCATTATTTTTTAATATTATTTATATATTTATTTAATTTTATTTTATTATTTTTTTTATCAAAAATAATTTTTATTTAAAATATTATTTATTTTTTTTTTTTTGTACTAAAATCTAATGATTATTTTTGAAAAGTATAGAAAAAATCATAAATTAAATTGATATTTATATTTAAACCATCAAAATAATCATTATTAAGGGTCCCTGATTAATATACAATATTTATTAATTTCCAAAAATATTTTAATATATTCCAAATATATTTTTCAGGTGTTCTCCACAACATCTTCGATGGGCTGACGGACAAGGAGGAGCAGGTGCGCGGCGCCATGCAGCAAGCAATTGTTAAGATTTTGGAAACGCATCCGGAAAGGGCTTCGGAGATCCTCAGCGATTACCGCGCTAAGCAGCCTAAGATGAGCGAACAAACCGTAGCCATGCTGCTGGAGTAAGTTCTTTCAAGGAGTTCCTCACGGTGAAAGTCAACCTAATCCTTCGTCTACTCCTCCTTTTTCAGCTGCATTCGTCGCGTGGTGGGTGCGGAAAATCCCCTACCCTTCAGTGCCAATCAGAAACTGATTGCCCTGGCCCTGGAGGAGCTTACCAGGAGCCCGGAGCACGTGCCTCTGATACAGAATCCCGCCCAGCGTATACTCGTGGCCATTGGCCGCAGCAGTCCCGAAAGCTGCGCCCAAGTAATGGAAGCCCTGCAGGAGAAGAAGGGACCCAATCCCGATGGCAGTGGTGTTCCCCACTTTATGCTGATGCAGAGTCTCGGTCTGCTGGCCACGGAGCATCCGGCGGGTGTGGTGCCGCACATCAAGGCGATATTGAGCAGATGCCAGCCACATTTGGGGGGCATACGCCAGGATCACATCAAGCAGGCCCATGCCTATGCCATCGGACGGTTCAGCGAGGCGTTGCTGGAGGAGGGCGGCAAGGCGGCAGAGGATGAGGATGCGGATGAGGAGGAGAAGCGCTGCTCCACGGAGATCAGTGTGGCCTACGATGTGCTCTTCAATCAATGGCTGCACTCCCGCGAGCCCAAGGTCTGCGTGGAGATACTCCAGGCACTGTCCAGCATGTATCCCCTACTGCCGCGGGATCGGATCCAGGACCAGGCAGCCAGGCTGGTGCCCCAAATACTCGCCCTTTACCGCCGGAGCGTGGACAGGAATGCCGTGACCCAGTTCCTCTGTTCGGTGCTAAAGACGAACCTGGCACTGAATGCCCAGGTCCTGGATGGCATCATTGATCCATTGATCACCCACCTCTTCGATCTCCTGTGCGTGTATCCGGACTACGAGAAGCCCCAGACGGTGAAGGGACACTACGAGGTGCTGCGCTGCTTCCACCTGCTGGCCGGTGGTCATCGTCCCTACTCGGCCCGGATCATGGACACCCTGCTCATCCATCTGCGGAACAACAGCGAACGGGAGCGGATGAAGTCGCTGCTGATACTCACCCATCTGCTCAACTCGTGTGCCGCGAACATAGAGAACCGCATTCCGGCCCTCATCGAGTGCCTGAAGCAGCTGATCCTCAGCGAGCGGGGCATCAAGATGAAGCTGACGCTGCTCAAGACCATTGTGGCGCTCGCCCAGAAATCTCACATACGGGACAAGGAGTTTGTGTGGTTCGTGGTGCGGCACAGCTGTCGCTACTCGAAGCCCAGCCAGGAGCACGGCAGCCAGGAGGAGCACGCGAACCTGGCGCTGAGCTGCGAGAACACCCTCTACATGCTGGCCTCCACGGTGGGCACCCTGGACGAGCTGCTCAAGCGGGAGCTGCTTAATTACTTTATCCTCCTGGACTACACCGATATCTGCGGGAATCTGGCCAAGTGCCTGGCCAGTTTGTTTGCCAAATCGCCGCACATTGAATACGATATAGCGGCAGCGGGGGAGGATGATGTGACTGAGCACAATACTGCCACAGAAGGTGCCGCCGCCGCAGCAGGAGGAGTCGTGGAGGATCGTGGTGTTAGCAGTGTGGTGAAGCGCGGGAAGGTAATGGTGCCGGGAGCAGAGACCATCTATGCCCGGTGCCTGGCCCTGCTGGGCAACCAGGAGCACTGCATCAAGCGCTGCTCGAATATACTGAGCTTCCTGCGCTACTACCATCCCCAGGTGAATCCCGCCTTGGAGGAACTGTGGGAGCGGCGGATACCCGACCTGCAGCTGCAGATCAACAGGGAGAGCGCCTACCGGCAGCAGCTGCATGACTTTGTCCTGGAAACGAACGAGTTCCTCGGCGGCCTGGACGAGAACTTTGCCCAGCGGCTGGCCTGCAAGCTGGCGGATCAGATGTACCTGTATCCCGTCCAGCTGCCCCACTCCGAGTGGCATCTGCCGGCGGACTTGGGTGCCGAGCGGGGCATGCTGCTCCAGGCGGTGGCCCTTACCTTGCTCCAGGTGACCGATGTGGCCTGCATCCACACCAAGATCGATCTCATTGTGACGAGCGCCCGGCAGGAGCGGCTGGACAAGCATGTGAGGCATGCGGACTATGAGAGGAGAATCGAGCCCTGCGCCCGGGCATTGGGCTATATATCGCGCCAGCATCTGGGCCTGCTGGTGAAGAAGCTAACGGAGCTGGCCCAGGTGGGCGGGCGGAAGCACTCGACGGGCTTCTTTAGCAATTTGCACTTCATCAAGGACACGCACAAGGAGCTGGAGAACTACAAGAGCAACCTGCTGGTGGTCAAGTCCTTTGGCCGCATCATGGACGAGGCGGATCCCCTGCAGTCGCTGCAGCACCTGGACGAGGACGACACCCTCCTGGGCTTCCTCATGCAGCAGCTGGCCGGGCACAAGGATCAAACCATCATGTCGGCCATCCTGCAGACGCTGCTCAGCATCTGCAATCAGTTGATAGCCACCAAGGAGCAGCTAACATCGCCACTGCGCCACCGCAAACAGATCATGGAGACGGTGTTCAGCATACCGATCGAGGCCCCCTTCCACGACCTACCCCTGCTGCCCACCATCCTCAAGCTGGGCACGGACTTTATACGCATCGGTGGTGGTCCCGACAGGACCGAGGTGGAGTGCGTGGACGGCGGCGTCATCTTTGAGATTGCCTGCCGCAACTTCTTCGGCTGCGCCCAGCAGCTGAAGATGAAGTTCGACTCGCAGGAGGAGGACGAGCGGAACAGCTTCCTGGCCAAGCATCTGAACGAATCGCTGCCGCAGCTGAACGCCCTGGTGCGGGCCATCGTCGAGCTGGATGCCTCGCCGGCCACACTGGATCTGATTATTGGAATACTGGAGTCGTGGACCAGGGATCGCAACTCGGAGGTACGCATCTGCGCGAGCCATGTCTTCAACAACACATTGGAGGTGTACATCAAGGCGATGCGCATTGGCTGCGAGGCCCCCTCGAAGTTCAATCAGACGGGCCAGATGCTGGGCAAGATTGTGCCCCGGTGCATTGATTCCAATGGCACTGTCCGCCAGGTGTCGGTAGAGATCCTCCAGAAAACGCTAGAGATAGCCTGCATCTATGAGACCCTCACGATAGCCAGCATCGATAGCAATGCCGACTGGCTAAAGGAGATCGAGGCGATCAAGGAGCACATCATCACCGACGAGCCCAAGCAGATCTACAATCTGGCCGGCGACATAGCCAAGATCATAGCGCTGCGCATCTCCAGCTTCCAGTATTTGCAGTTCTGGTAAGGATCACGGGGTTTCTCACAGAAACTTTCCCTCTTATTAAATCCTCTTGTTTTTGTTTTTTCTTCCAGCAAAACCTTGCTGCAATCTTTACGTGACCCGGAGCAGAGCTCCACCATTGGAGCCAGCGTCGTGCTCAAGTTCTTCATCCAACAGAAGGGCTCTGAGCTGTTCCATGCCATTCCCGATCTCGTGCGCGACAGCCTGCTAGCGCTACAGGTGTGCGAGGTGCCCAGGGCCAAGTCTGGAGTCCTAAAAGCCCTAGTGGCTTTAACGAAGCATCATCCCAAGTTGGTTTGCGCCGAAATGCTTAATCAGCCGCTGCCCTATGACCAGCATTTGGTGGAGTATTGGCACCTGGTGTGCACCGATTCCGAGCTGACGGGCCTGATGCTGGACATATTCCTGCAGCTGCTGAGCGGAGCAGCACTGCAGGAGGGTGGCGGCGGAGGCCAGGAGGCAGAGCGCCAGAGACTGGCCAGCGGTCAGCCGTTTGCCATCTTTTGTGCGTTGCACGAGATGCTGCCCTGCAAGGATATCAAGGGGGTAAGGGGAGAGCAGGAGGGGTTATGGTATGGGAACCACATAAATATAGATTCTTTCTTTTTTTTAGCAACTGGAGGCCCGCTTTGCGGACATGTTCAGCATGCTGTTGACCTCTCTGAGCAGCTACACCAACCTGGCCGCTCCCAATCCGGTGATGGCCGCCTCCGCCAGTCCCAGTACGACCCAGCCAGCAGGCAAATCCAAGTTCGGATTCGTGCCCAACAAGGAGCTAATCAAGCTGAATCCCTGCCAAATTGCTTTGGAGACCTTCCAGGCCTTTCTCACCAACCTGGAAATGGAGCAGATCGCCAGCGTGCTCAGCGTCAATGCCCAGCTGGCCAGTAGCCCGGATTGGCACAGCTACATCGAGCTGCTGACCCCCATGGCCATTGGACTGGGCCAGCAGCTGCAGCTGGGCAGCCCCCAGATGAGGCTTTTGGTCGGTTCGCTGAGCAAGTATGTGGCCTCGCCACACGATGGCCAGCGGGTGGCAGCGGTGGGTCTATTCTCGCGTCTGGTCCCGTTGAAACCCACCGGGGAGCTGGCTGCCACCATATTGCTTCACCTGGGAGCTGCCCTGTCCGATCCCAATGCCGTGGTTAGGGGTCTCAGCATCCAGGGCATGGGCTATGTGGGTCATCTCAGCGAAATGGAGGCCAAACGGTACTCGGAAACGGCCATTTCGGCCTTGTTGAAGGGCGTCGACGATCCTGTGGGCGACTGCCGCCTGATCAACATTCCGCTAGAGAGCATGCGAGGTCTCTCGGGGATTCTGAGGGCCCTGCCCAGCGAGCGGATTGAGTCCTTCCACGTCTCCCTGGCCATTCGAATACGCCCGTTTCTGGGTAATTATGCTTTGGAAATGCGCGAGGCGGCCATCCAGCTGTTTGGGGATTTGTGCGAGGGCGAGAGCGAGGGCGGAGGCTCCTCCTCACCCACCACCACCTCCTCCATGGAGGCTTTGAAGGAGCAACTGCTGGCGAATCTATTCCCGCTTCTACTGCATCTCAGTGAGGCGGAGGCTGTCATTGTGACGGCCTGTCGGGGCACATTGCAGCGGGTGTGCCGCCTGCTTCCAGCGCCGCGGGTCCTAGAGATGGCCGAGCAGCAGCTGGGCGGCGAGGAGCGTGGCGTTCGCCTCAACTATGCCAGCTTTGTGGTGGACTTTGTCAAGCTAATTGTAAGTGAAAAAGGGTTTTACTTTGCAACTCAGAGAATACAAAAAGGGTTTTTGTTTTTAGGCCCAGGAACTGACGGAGCACATCCAGGACTTTATAGACTCCTGCCTGCCGCAGTTGCGCAGCCAGTGGCCAGAGGTGCGAGGCAGTGCGGCCATTGTGATTGGTATGAACCCAATATACTCCTCCTTTGTAACGTTTGTAAACTATATTTCTCCCTTGCAGGCATTTTGCACAACTTCCTCAGCGAGCGAAACCAGCACACGGAATCGGTGGCCACCAAGATCGCTGTGCTGCTCAAGGACGAGCAGGCAACGGTGCGCGTGAGGGCGGCCACTGCCCTCGGTTATTTCTTTGGCGACATCTAGGGACCAATCCATTATCTCCTTTAATTATTATGCGTGTTTCCTGTATACTTATGCCTTAGTATTCTCTCCAAGTGTGTGATCATCCCGTGCTGCCCCAGCAATTGTTTACCCGAATTTTGTTTGTTTTGTTAATCAATCGAAAATCCACGTTATGTATTAGATACTACTACTATATATGCGGCATATATATGCATACGATTCCCATATTTATATATTTATAAACATGTTTTTTTTGCGGAGCGTTTTACAAGCTGTAAGGCAGTGTCTATTGTTGGCATTAAATGTGTGTTTTCTATTAAAGGAAAAAAATAAAACAAAAAAGAAAAGACTCTTGTTGTGGACAATAATACCGAATTTCTTCAGATAAATATGTAATATTTTTTTTTCCAATTGAAATATTTCTAAAAAATTAATATTTCTCTTTTTTAATAAAAAATAAATTATATTAAAATATATTATAAATATGGAAGACTAAAAAAACTAAATAAATATAAAAAAGTATTTAAAAATTATTTATTTTTCATTTTTCCAAGTGTATGTTTTTTTCTGTTTAGAGAAAACCAAGATAATTATTTACGGTCCCCGTAATAAATACCTGGCTGCCTTTGCAAATATATTTCAATAATTTAAACATAAAAACTGTCTTAAGGTTGTAAAACGCTTTGTTAAATCAAAAACAAAAAAAAAACTAAAGGCAAAGAGAACGAAATAGAAAGAGGACGTAGGACGTAGGACCAGACCAAATCAAAACCCCACAATGTGCTTAGCTCGAATCTGAGAGTCAATTACCAGGCCACATTGCATCCCTTTGGACTTTGATTTAAGGGGGTTTCCCCGCAACTTGAGTGTGTTTGTTACATGTATTGTATTCATAATTATTAACGCTTACAAAAAAAACCAAATATAGAAATACTAAAATATAATTACCCAGGATTCAATCGAAGGCATGGTACTGGATGCGACCCGACGACCAGGCAATGGTCAGCACAGACCTATCGTTCTCCTTGTACAGCGGCTGGAAGCATATGAAACTGGGACGCTCCGCCGCTGTCTCGCCGCTCAGCGAATACGCAGCCGAGATTTTGATTTCAAACTTTTGAATATAAGTGCGAAAAACGGCAATGCTGTTGGTGGATTTGAACGAGATCACCAGATAGTTGCCATGCGGATCCCAGGCCATCTGCTGTGCAGGTCCGCCAATCAGGGCGCTGTTGCCATCGATTCCAGTGCTGCAGGCATTAAGATCGGCAATGGGCAGGACCTCCTTCTCACTGGAACAGGCTGTAAGTGGAGTTTTTTTTTCATTAATATTTAGGGAAAACGGAGGATAGCTTGTGGAATCTGTGGTCAGCATTATACAGGCGTTTCTGCAGGCTCAAGCAGCCGCCAACCTGTTGGTGACTTTAATCTGGGGCAGCTCCAAGGTTGGCCCCTGTCCCATAATTGAGAGACAGCGACTAAGAGACACCGGCTGCCCCCTCCTCCCTCGGAAGGATTAGCAAAGTACTTACAATCGCCCAGCTTCATCTGCACAAACTGCAGGCGATACAGAATCGGTTCGGCGCTGCTGACGAAGAGCAGAAAGCGACCGCAGGGCGACCAGCAGGCGGTCTGCACATAGCCACCGTTGCACACCCAACGTTCGGTGGTCCAACGCTTGTGACAGTTCCACACGCGAAACACCCGATCCACGGTGGCGGCAAACAGCCATTCGTTGTCCGGCGACCACTTGAGCAGGGAAAACGGCGGACCCAGACGCTTGAGGGGCTGCATCAGGCCATTGTCCGTCTGCCAAATGATGACGGAACGATCGCCAATGGAGGTGGTGGCCAGCTGGGTTCCATCCTTGTTCCACTGCAACGAGGTGATTGGCAGGCTGGCGGGATGCCTAAAGATCTGGCTGGGTGCATTTGTGCGTCCAAGATGCATGGCGGTCTCCACATTCCAGAAACAGAGACCCTGCCGGCAGCCAATCACAATCTGTGCAGAGCACAGCGGTCGCCAGGCCATGCAAGTGATCTCCGTTTGAAGGGGGCTCTGTAGGATTTGGTTTTTGATTAATTATAAATTATAACTTGTGGAGCGAACGGGCTGGGGGGCGGGTCTAACCTTTAGGACCGCCGCGGCGACTGTGCTCGAATCCCTGGTGTAAATTCGCACCACATCGTCCAAACCGGCTACGGCCAGCTTAAAGATGTGCAAGTGCCAGGCCAGGCAGCGAACATTGCTGTTCAGCCAGTCCCTGAAAGAGAGAAGGGTCGTTCGGTCATGGTGAACCCTGACATGGAGAGTCCTGTATACGCACCCCGTCTCCACAAACTGGGCAATCCGCTCCGCACTGAGCCCCTGAGTGTGCGGAAAGATCTTTAGCTTTAGTCCATTGACCAGGCCCATGATTTGGGCTATCAAATCGCCCGCCCGGGCAATTAGTGGCGCCTGCTCCCTGCTCTTAGCCCCGCGCGCCTCCTCCAGCGATTCCCAGAAGCCGGCGTCGAAGAAGATACGCGTTATCCTCTTTAGGACGCCCTCATCCACGGGCAGGAAGCTCTGGGCGCCGTAGAAGCGCTGCCCGGCAGCCGTGTGGCTGGCCATGAGTTCACTGTTCAGTCTTATCTGCGGATAGCGCTTGAGCTCCGGCGAGTGGGTTTGCCGCATTGTCAGGTTCGGGTCCGTGGACAATGGTGGACACTCCTTCAAATTGCTCAAAGCCGCCATTACTGCGGGAGGTTTAATTTACATGAAATGTGAAAAAATAAAAACGCGTCGCGCGGGAAGATTGAGAATGATGTGACCAGAGTTGGGTAAGTGCAAATGGCCAGGAAAGAGTGGTAAAGGAACGATGTGGTCGGGAGAACAACTGGAATTGGAACAAATATAAACTGAAGCTAAAGAGCTGGTATAAATTAAAAATATTTACTATAAAATTAAATATCAATTGATTTCAAACGTAAAGATTATACAGGGGAAACCAAAATGTATTTCCATGTCTTGCGTGTTTATTTGTTGTTTATTTTACTCTTGAAAATATCGTCGTCTATTACGATAGTCTATATTTACAGTAATTCAGTCAGAAAAATGGATTGAAACGTCCGGAATTGAAACAGCATGCAAGTTGGCAGCACCTTTTATGTATTAAATTTGTAAATAAGCCATTGCTGCTTTAAAACAAACAAATTAGCAACTAAAAGACATATATTTATAAACAACGCTTTATTAAAGCATTATTAATCAATGCGTGTTACTTTGTGATATTGATTTGTGATCAAACGGATGACAGTCAGAGTCGGAAAAGCCAGATTTCCCGCTTTCCGCTGTTCATTAACGAATTTTTTGGTATTTTTGGGGCGGTTGGTTAGCGACCACATCGAGTGGGTTTTCATAAACAAAAAGGATAACCCGGCTAAATGGCAGACTCCCACTCCACCGGAGCCTACAACTACAAGACCTTGCTGTAAGTGCCTCCTCTCCACCAGCATCCTGCCTGCTCTCTGCTCCCTGGGGATCCTACATTTCATACATTTCCTACACTTCCTAATCCTCCACAGATGCACCGACATACCCGAACTATTTCTGGACAAACATGTTGCCCGCTCGCATTTCGGTCGCTTCGGAACCCTCATGAACTTTGTGCTGCGTCCGCGGCGGATGACCTGCACGGTTAGCTATGCCACCGAGGCGGAAGCAGAGCGGGCGCTGCTCGAGGGCGGCGTATACAACGGCCATCAGTTCCACATGTCGTATGCGGAGCGGGAGTCGACCCCGGCCCAGAAGACCGAGGAATGGGTGGATCCCGATGTGCAGGCGGAGCTCAGTGCTTTGACAGCGGGCTGGCGGAGTGACTATCCGGCGCAGCAGCAGGGTGGTAAGAAAACGAGCTCCCAAGCTCCACACGCACCTCCAGCACAAGCTGCCTCCGCCACCCCTTTCCGGCATGCTCCTTCTCTAGCCTCACATAGAGAACGTCCGAGTGGGCAATCCAAGGAGCTGGAGGCGCTGATGAGCCGGCCAGCGCATACCAGCGAGGAAAAGTACCGAGTGCTCGATGCACGCGACAAGCTGCTCCGCTTGAATCGCAACCAGAAGCTGCAGGTGGATGTGAAGAGCTCGGGTGGAGCAACACAGGGCCACTGTCCGGACATGTGCCCGGAGAAGGAGCGACTGCTGCGCGAGTTTCAGCGCCAGGTGGCCGTCTATGAGCTGCAATCTGGCTCCGATGATCGCATTTGCCATGAGAGAGCTCTCAAGCAATATTCGCGTAGCAGCGCCGATCAGGAGACACCGCTGCCCCATGAGCTGCGCACGGAGTCGGCCCTGCACATGACCATGACCTACCTGATGCACGAGATAATGGACAACGATCACAATTTGGGCGATTGGTTTCACTTTGTGTGGGACCGGACCCGGTCGATTCGGAAGGAGATAACCCAGCAGGAGCTGTGCTCCCTGGGTGCCGTCAAATTGGTGGAGCAATGCGCCCGCTTTCACATCCATTGTGCCGCCCGTCTGGTGGCCGAGGATCCCAGTGTCTTTGACTCCAAGATCAATGCCGAGAATCTAACGAAATGCCTGCAGACGCTCAAGTACATGTACCACGATCTCCGCCTGAAGGGGGTCCAGTGTCCACGCGAGGCGGAGTTTCGTGGCTACATTGTCCTGCTCAATCTGGCGGATGCCAACTTCCTGTGGGACATTGGCCAGCTGCCCGCCGATCTGCAGAGTTGCCCGGAGGTGCGTCAGGCCATCGAGTTCTACCTGGCGCTCCACGACACGAACTTTGTTCGATTCTTTAACTTGGTCCGCGCCGAGGAGACCAGCTACCTGAGCGCCTGCATCCTGGTCACGTACTTCACGCGCCTTCGTGTCCTGGCCCTGCATCGCCTCTTCCAGTCCTACAGAGCGCCGCGCAAGAACGAGGTATCCTCCCTGCCACTCCCCTATGTCGCCGAAATGCTGTGCTTTGGCAGCGACCTGGAGGCGGCCGCCCATTTCGTGGAGCACTACGGTCTGGAGGTGAACGACGCGGGTCGCGTGGTATTGACCAGGATGCATACGGCGGAGGCAGACTACAAGCTGCCGCGACAGCTGGAGGTAAGTAAAGGGGGGAACAGGGAGAGCGGCACTTAAACTAATTTTAAATGTAACATTTTGTCAGCTGGTGGAATCCAAACGACGTCAGACCGTGGGCGAGTGCATCTGCGGGGAGCCATTGCCGCCGCGTTCCCTATACCTGGGCCATCGCCCGCACAATAGCTTCAACGAGCACAACGTGCTGAAGACCATAGCCTGGGCAGCCAAGGATCAGCTTCCTGGAATGCAGCAGAAGGAGCAGGAGCAGGAGGAGCAGCAGCAGCGGCAGGAGGAGCAGAGGCAGGAGCAGCACCAGCAGCTTCGTCATCACCCACATCCAGAGCATCATCCTCAAGAGGAGCCACAACGTCCACCGTTCGAAAACGATAACTTCTTCAAAGTGCCCATGCAGCCGCCAGGAGGAACCACTGCTGCCAGCTTCTCCTTCGCTCTGCCCAAGCCCCGTGGCCAGGAACTGCTTCAGCTGGCGGTGGAGCAGCAGCAGAGGCAGCGCGACCAGGAGGCCAAGCATCAGGCCCTACAGCAGGCCATTGCCGAGGCCAAGAAGCGGGAGGCCGAACTGATGGCCATCCATGAGGCCAAGGTGGCCGAGGCTGAGCGATTGCGTAAGGAAAAGCTTCGGAGGCGCCTGGAGGCCGAGGCAGAGCAGCAGCGTCAGCAGCAGCAGCAGCAAGAACTGGAGAGGCAGCGACGCCTTCAATGGGAGCGGGAGCAGGAGCAACTGGAGAAGCTGAGAGAAGAGCGCCTGCGGGAAAGAGAGGCGCGCCTGGAGCAACAATCCCTGGAATACTATCAAACGTTGTTGCCGGAAATTCTAAACGAAATGTGCAAACAAGAACTGCGGCTGCATAAAGCCGTTTGTGGCACCTTGGACTCCCTGGTGGCTGACATCGTCAGCGAAACGGCGGCGGAGGAGCTGCAGCAATCGCTGTACGAACTAAGCATCAAGCGTAAGTACTGGCGACGCTGGCGCAACTATCGCCGGGCTCAGCAGCAGAAGGATACGCTGTTCAATCAGCTGCCATTGAGCTTCGCCGCCGACAGCCCCAGTATCCTGATGAACGAGCGCTTTGTGGATGGCTCGCTGCGTCTAATCCGGCGCTACCGGCAAGGCGTGGCCTGTGATTATGGCAGCCTGCTGGCCGGCAGGGAGGAGGAGGAGCACAGCTGGCTGAAGCTGGACCTGTGGCGAGTCCTGGACGAGTGTCTGCCGCAGGTGGCGCCCGGTGCCAGGCGCTTTTACAAGCTCCTCCTGCTGGTTAGCCCCCAGTTGGACTATGACCTGGACATGGGACTCTTGCAGCAGCCGCAGGAGGGCAGCATTAAGCCAGAGCCGGGCATCTATATCAGAGCCCTGCATCAGGGCATAGCCTTGAGTGTTGTGAAGATCCATGCTGATGCCGAGGCGCTACGAGCCGCCAAGTTTGTGGAGCAACCCGACAGCATTATTTGCCTAGCCGGAGTCACGAAGCCGACTCTTGGCCAGATGTTGCCCCATCTTGGGCAACTTATCCGCCAGAGTCACTGCTCCGACGTGGCCTTCATTCTGCAGCATTCCGGCCGGGAATGGCAGGAGCCTCAGTTGCCGCTCAAGGACCTAGGTGTTCGCCATGCCAGAATCTTTCCATGGCGCCGGGGCTCGTCCAGCAGAGAGCGCTTGATGAGCAAATTTGAAGCCGCCATCCGGTACTTGGCCAAAGGCAAGGCCTTGCGGTGCAACTCCTCGCAACTCCATCAGTCGGAGACGCGAGAGTTCCTCATCGACCACCTGGGACGAGAGCTCTTTAGCCGCCTGAAGAACGCCGCCAGGCAGGATCCAGCCGTGCGAAGGAGATGCCAGAGGGGCCCACAGCATTGTGTGGACTTGTACAACGAGGCTGTGCGTCGCTTGCAGCTGGTAGTTGGCGAGGATCTCGAGGACTGCCCCCGCTTTCCCGAAGACCTGCGCGTCTTTGTGGATTCAGGCTCGACGCCCGTGCTGTCCACCGATCGCCTGGAGTTCTTTGAACCGGGATGGCACCAACCAAGAAGGCGTCAGCAAATCGTACAGCTGCTGGAGCTGAGCAAGCTGCCCAAGATGCCACCGCAGCCGCCGAGGAGCCAACTAGAGAACTATTGCCGGTGGGTCCTGGACTGTGTTCAGCTGAGTCAGCAAGAGGACATGGTGGACTCCATTGCCGTGCAGTCCACCAAGTTGTTGGAGGAGGAGAAGGCGGAGGCTGGTCACCTTGACTTTGTTGCCCTGCTGGCCACCGAGAGGCTGCAGTATATCCTACAACGTAGGCTGGAGCTGCCCAAAGCCATCGTTTTCAGAGATCACACCCTTAAGATCTCCTTCCTCAGCGACTGGTATTACGCGTTCCAGGAGTCTCTAGCTGAAAATCTCCAGGAACATGAGCCATACGAGGAGGATGAAGATCTGGAGAATCCCACAGAACAGGAGCAGGTGCACACGGAGCAGGAAACGGATAAGCTGGACTTTGGCAAGATTTTGCAACGAGCGGAAGCCCTACTGGACAGACGCGAAAGGCGTCAAGCCCTCCGGAATATAAATGGGCCAACGACATCTGGCCAGGACATAACCGATTCCCCGCAAGAAGGAAATCCGGAACATGTTAGGAAGCGCCTGCGACTGGGCTTCAATTAGTCACCTGAGATTATCGAGCGATGGTAGGTCGGAGATGTGGAAAAGAGCGAGACGGCCTTTGGCTTGCCAGGTAATAGTCTCTAGAAATTAATTATATATTTAAATTGTCCTAAATTGTTAAATTTTAAAATGCATTTTTGTTTAAATCAATATGTGTTTGCCAACCCATTAAAATATTGCTCCCTCTGTAATGGCAAAAATAAATATTTTTCAGTGTAGTTCTTTGGCTCCTTATATCTTGGAAATTTGGCAATATTTTGAATTGCACAAAATTTTGAAAAATACTTTTTACTTTACCTAATAGCTGTAAAAAGAAAGAAAATTTTTCAAGAAACGACTGTCATATGGGTCAACCCCCTGAAATCTATAGAGACAAAGTCCATCCAAAAAAAATCCATCTTTGGAGTGGGCATATGGGCCAAGCAATGACTAATCTGGCGCCCTATATAGTATACTTGATCTATATATACAATATATTCGTAAACTTGTTTATCATAATTGCGCCCTGTTTACCAACAAAACAAATTTCACCAAAAGCAACGCAAATTGCAATCCACCTCGGGATCAAAACAAAAACAAAGAAGACACGTGACAAAGAATAGAGTATAACAGAGGAAAATGAATCGTTTCTGTTATATTTTTAGAAATGCAATGTCACCTAGGCGCACTCACTACTAGGGCTTTACGTTTTTTTTTTTTTTTACATTTCTCTTTTTTTGGCAACTGAAATTCAGGAAGATTTCACAACAGAATGCAAAATATAGCAGATTTTCCAAAGAAGGGTTCTAGAATATTAGAAATCTAAGAAGATCAGCAGAAGATGGAGCACTTAGTACCACAAATAAGATCTTAAGTTCTCCACTTTAACTTATGATGCCTTTAGGTTTTGATTTCCCCTCAACTTTAATAAAAACGCACCTTTATAATGGGTCTTTGGTTTGTTTGGCCCTCATTGACAGCCCCGAGGGTTTGTTTTTTAGTTTGTTTTTTTAGGGGTAGAGTTGGGATAGCTCAAAGGGGCTGCCAGTGGGATTTTCTATTTAACATTTTCTTACTTTTTTTTCACTACAATTAAAAACAATGCTCTCTCATCAAACAATTAAGAACTAAACGAAGAGCAGACAGTTCTGATCCGATGATCTGACCAGATTCCAACTGCTGCTTCAATGGGGGACTCTTTACTGGAGATGATGCGCCTGCTTGCACTGCCGCAGCGCCTCGTTGAATCCCTCGCAGAGAGTCAGATCCGCCTGTCCCTGGGCGCACTGGATGAACTGTTTGAGCTCCCAGGCGCAGGCACCCTGCGGCTCCATCTGCTGCTGCGGCTGCTGGGCATAGTATTGTTGTTGGGGTGCCGGAGCAGCTGCGGCTGGGGCTGGAGCGGCGGCCTCCTTATCGCCAGATCCGCTAAACAGCGAGGTGAGTCCATGGCCCACGGTATGGCCAATGGCCGAGCCAACAGCCACACCGCCGGCGGTGGCGGCCATCTGCTGGAACATGGATGGCTGCTGGGGTGCCGGCATGCCAACGGCGCTGGGTGGAGCGGCCACTGGAGCTGGCGGTGGTGGAGGGGCGGCGGCACGTGCCGGCACAGGTGCGGGAGCGGGCGCAGGTGCGCTGCTGTGGAATGAAAAGGGGGAAACAAAAACGTATTAGTTTTTATTGTGGACTTTGGCCCCTAGTTTTTTGCACTTCCTTGCACAAAGCTCTGAAACATCCCATATTGTTGGGGGACTCTTCTTATTTTTTTAGGTTACGTAACCTTAACCCATTTTAGGGCCCACGTAGAGCGGCGGCGGCGGCGGCAGCAGGTTGAAACTGACCGGAATGGGCCTAATTAATAGATAATACCGAGATCATCCGATCCGATCTTGGTGATTACGAAATGATGAATTTCTCCTGCCGACGCCGCCGCTGCTTTGCTTTTTTTTTTTTGTTTATTTCCCTGTTTATTTCCTTACCGTCGGGCGGAGGGCGGGGGGCTGGCTGAACGTCCACGGCGAACCATTTTGTTTGTTTTATTTACTGTTTTATTTTCTTTAAAATAACTTTCAACACGAAAATTTCGCTGCTATTGCTGTTTCGGCTTTTGCTTTAAATGTGATGAACGCTCGACACTTATAAATGAAATCGAAAATTCGACGAGAAGCTTCGACGTTAAGTCGATTGCATACTCGATATATCGATATTTGTGATACCAATATTTATCGAATATATATTATCGATTATAACGAGCTTTAAACTTTAAATATAATTTAACTAGCGCTTGTATAGGTGTTTTTCTTTGGTCAAAATTGAACTCTAGCATCGAGTTCTCAAGGAATATGAGATAATAATAGTTTCCTGGTATATATATTTTTTGTGCATGGCGGAAGTGTCTTGCTGGCCAATGTTGCCACCTGGTTTTGTATAACTGACGGTTACTTTTTAAATTTAAACATTAGATCCCTGCAGTTGAAATTGAAATAAATATACTATTATACAACAGGCCTAAAAGATTTATTAAATTATACAAAGCTTGAAAACGAATCTAATTTTGGACTCTAGTTGACGAACGAAATGATTGTAAATTGGCTGGGCTGCTTCTTCAAACACTCCCTAGCGAAGTCCATTGGGCAACTCACTCCCAGGGTTCTGGCGATTTTCTCACCGTAGGTGAGGGTGTTTCGTGGAGACTCCTTGGTCAGGAACCGGTCCTCAGTCAAATCCTTGTGAAAGAAGTGGATCAGGGCTACAAGGGCACGACCGCTCTTCCAGGAGGCGGTAAATTCGTATATCGGAACTACCCAAAGGTAGTTTATGGAGGAAGCTTCATCCAAAGAGGTCAGCTTTTTCATCTTATCTTCGACTGGAGGTTTGAACCCACTAGGACCCTTGGTCTTCGAATCTTGCAAGACTTGCCGATTGTGCACCGAAGGTGAACCTTCGTTTGTGGTCAAGAGCGTCGAACTGAACTTGGAAACCGACCCTAATTCCTTTAAAAAATAAGTCTTAACTGATACTTTGCTCTGTGACAATGCGATGACATCCTTCTGGTCCTCTATAGGAGATTTAGGGTAACCGAGACTCTCGGGCCTTAAATCCTGTGGGTTCATCTGTAAATCCTCGATTGAAGCAGACAGATCCACCTCGGATTCCATCATTAACACGGATAAAGTACGACAGATTAATGCAACGTGGACTTCCTGTTTCCTCTCAACTGAAGAATCAAGATTCTTGGACCTCAAATCCTGTGGGTCTACGATGGAAGCTGATAGTTCCTCCTCGGATTCTGTACTAAATACTGATATAGTCTGACAGATATCATCAGAAGCAACATGCCAGTCCTCACTTTCCACCGAAGAGCTAAAGCAACTGCGTTCCATTGACCTCAAATACTGTGGGTCAACCTGATAATGTGTATCGTCGATGGAAGCTGATAGTTCCTTCTCGGATTCTATATCCAATACTAATATAGTCTGACAGATATCATCCACGTAGACGTGCCATTCTTCGTCACTATTACAGCAGGATTCCAAGGATCTCAAGTTATAGCACACTAGAGGTAAGTTTTCGATTGTGGTCGATAGTGTCCCAGTGGATGATGTTGGATGGATGCTGCCTAGGATGTATGTTTTGGCAGAAATTATATCTAGCTTGCATTGGGACTCAAACTTGCTAATCTTGTCCTGAGAACTCTGAGCCAGGTCTTTCTTGTCCTCAGACGGACTGCGTTTCCACATCCTTGGGCTGCAAATTTCGGACTTTTCTTTGGTCAATTTTCTTAGGACAGACGGCGGTAGGTACTGAAAGTAAAGGTTACTCGTCCTCTTAAACCTGGGCTTAACAATTTTAAATTTTGGCAAGTTAATTACGGAATTCATAACTGGACTTTTCTCTACGGTGGCTGGCTCGATCTCTGGGTTATTATTTAAGATTTTGGAACACAGATTCTGCCTCCGTTCGGCGGCTTCCTTTATTTTCTGGTATAATATTTTATATTTCCTGTGCAGTATTTGGTTTTCCGAAACTTTTATGAGTATTTTCAAATCCGCATTTACGGTATTCATGCGGACAAAGTATTCAGAGGAAGTCTCCTCGAGGACCTTCATTCCTTTAACAGTACACGGGACAAGCACATAAAGGAAACCTATATGACTTCTACCTGTGGGCAACACAGTTCCCTGATATAGGATCGATTTCTGGTAACTCCCCAAAAGACATACAGTTCTCTATGATTTCTAAAATTTTAGCTTTAACCTCGTAGCTAAACTCGTGTCTCCTCTGGAACTTCTTTCGCAGCTGAAGGATTAGCAAAAAGGTCGTTCCCAAACACTCCCTCATGATGATTGCGCTCACTGTCAGTCTTCAAATATAATAACATATTTTTAATTTGCTCTAGTCTGGTATCCATAACTAAATATGTATATGTTTCTACTTATTCCAATTGATTTTAACTAAACTATATAAAACTATATGTGTGTTTAGTAAATTAAGTTAAAAACTCCGAAGCCCCGTTCAGGAAACAGGCCCAGTTTTTTTTTTACTCTCAAAGGCGCCACCTATGTATGAATTTACAGTCCGTCGCTTACGCTTCTGAGCCGGCATTTCCATTTTGAAAGCCAGAAGGTCACGTGGAATTAAACTCTGTTTTTGCTTAAAAACCATTTATTTTTAATTTACTTTTTAAATGAAATATGGTTTTCTTTTTTAAATAAATTTTAAAGCGTGCCACTGGCTGGCGGCAGGCAGTACTTATGTAAGGTCCAGGCAAGCACGTGTAGTGGCTTGTGAGTGTGTGTGTGTGTGTGGGTGCGTGGGCAGCAACCTGTGGCCATTTCACCTTAAGTTAACCTTTCGGCAGGACATTGCGCAGGCGCTCGATTCCGGCTGGCTATAATTAGACATTTAGAGACCCACTTGCATCATCATCGGGGAATTGGCCATCGGTTCACGTGGTGGGTGGGTCATGGTGTTCATTGTACATATTTCGTCCGTTTTGGTAACACGTGCAGCACTCGCACAGACACTTGCGCCAACCGAGTCTCTCTCATAGATACACCAATACATGCAAAGGCCGGTGACGAGCCTCCTATATTTCTCTCTCTCTCTCTCTCTCTTTGGGGCCCTCTCTCATAGATAAAACTGTTATACCAAAACCAGTTTACATGCGCCGCCACCGCATATAACAGCCAAAGCTGCCTTCCTCTGCCGGCGCCGCTGTCGCAGTCACTGCCGCCTTCGCTGCTGAAAAAGGACAAACTCAAGGGCATTCAATGGAAACGCGGAACGAACACATCGAAGAGTAAGAGAAGGCGGCGGCAAAAGCGAGGAAACAACAACAATTACAGACTTTGTCTTGCAGCAATTTCGTACGCCCGACTTTGATAAGTTCGCCTTGATTACCATACGCCGGCATATATAAGTATTAGTCCCTAGTACCACTAGACTATATTAGATTACACAATCGGTCCCGGTTTAGTATCAACTTTTTGCTGCCACTCCCACGCTATTTGTTGTTGGGAGAGGATTCGTGTGGGTGGATGTATGTGGGTGCCGGAGTGACACAGTTTGTCCTCCCATCTCTCACTCTCTCTTACTCTCTTCTACGTTCTCTTTCGCATTGCGTGGGCGTGTTTGAGAGCCTGCCCTTTGAGGTTATGTCTGCTGATTGCATATCAAAGCAGGTTCCATTGATTAACCATCAACTAGAAAAAAAACATATACACACACACCTACACGTGCGCGCACACTAGCATAAAGAACAAAATACTCCATTAGATTATTATGCTATCTCTATCTGGCGCTGGCCCTTTTTTAAGTGCTCTGGTTATTGATATCGATTGTCATCAGCGGACTAAACTTTTCCACGCAAACAAACCCACACACGCACGCACGCAAACAGCTGGCCAATCAGATGGAGCTTTACCGTTAGCGCTAAGCTAACAAATTTTGTGGGGGGGGGGATTAGGTGGAACTAGGGAAAGGCTGATCTTAAAATGTAAGAATTAAGAATCCCTTAAACCTTGATCCATTTATTTATTTTTAAGTTAGTAAGAACACTAGACATTAGATATATACTTCCATAATTGAATTTTTATTACTAATCATAAGTTTATTAATACGAAAAAAGGAATCATATATTTCCTTTTGGTTTTTACGATCAAGCCAAAGAATGTGATCACAATAGGCTAATTTACCCCCGCCGAGACACTTGAGATCTCAAGGCTATTCAAATCCCCCCGGGCGATATGATATCGATGAGGTGATCGCATTCCCGGAGTACGGTGTACGACGCACTGCATTCGCCGGGCCGTAAAAAATATCAACGGAGCATCCGAAGTCCGAACTTTCGCCAGCGTCTGGAGCGTTAAGCTTATCAAAAAACCAATCGAATTCCTTTGCTATAGGGAAAGTTCTCGGCAATCGATTGATTTATGCAATAGCGCCGATTTGTTCCTATATTCCAGACCAGTAATAATGATAAGTAACCCCCGGGAGGAATTTTCGTTGCCAATATTTGGACACCTCCCTGGGCTTATCAATCTCGGGCCGAAAATAGTAATCAAAATAGACAGATTTTCGTGCGGAATATTATATGTATACCTACATACATACATATATATGTACATATATAGATGGAAGATTAGAAAACATGAATTAATTACTAAATACGCATATGTATATGTATATATAGCCCCATGTCCGGGTGCGTTGAGTGCTTATCGGGAGGTTTCTGGAGGGCATTATCGCTGGAGTGGCTTTTGCACTTTTACTTTCGTCGAATTCTATTTGGGAATCGTTTGGGAATCACGCCGATTGAGCTGAATTGACTTTATCAGTTCGTGGGATCTTGAATATATGTTGAAACCAGTAACTCTACATTCCAGGAACGAGTAGATCTATAGTGTATCATCTGGAATTTGATGAAGATAATCGTAGCAAGCAGGTGGTGTGCAGCTGAAGTTAATTAGGTAATCTAGAGATGCCCCATATATCTTTCTATATATATTATTTCATCAACCAGAAGTAAGATTTCATGATTCATAGCTCCCAGAACCTAATCTTATAATATATGAATCAACCAACTCGCATAGCAAAGACCTATTATAGTTAAGACTTACTAAGTACATAGTAAATTTTAATCAAAGGGACCG